CTTTTGTTTCACAGGCATCAAATATGCATTGTGGTCTGAAAGCTTTCCCTCCCCAAGCTTTCCCTTCCAGGAGTACCCAGATGACAAAGCTATTTTTTTTTTTGAATAAAATCCTACTATGTGAAGGACATTACATAATAATGTGTTTGGGGGAAATTATTTAACCTCTCTAAACTGTTACTTCATCTGTAAAATGGGATTGTTGTTTGAAATAATCTACAAAGAGCAATTTGTAAAGTGCCAAGTACACAGTAAGTACTCAATAATTGGTATATAATACTATTATTGTACCACATGCCAGACTCTGTGTGATAAATTCCAGTGTTTATTACTTATAATCCTTGTTATAATCAGCAAGTATTAATATGCTTATTTGACATATAGGGAACTAGGATTCAATGAAGTTAAGATAATTTGCTCAAATTGCTTAACCACATAGCTAGAATGAGCAACCTCAGATTAAAACCCAGCAGGTTCTGTAGAAGAGAGTAATGTACACGTATGCTGGCAAATTATCCATTGCTCGGAATGTAATGAAACTCCATGCCCTCTATGACATGGTATATACAATTTATAACTAATACAAAGTACTTTGGGAACTTTTTTATAACTCTTAAGTCTGTGCACTTAATTTCACTACATATATGACATTAGAATCTGTCCATGGGCATTTAACACTAAGCATTTGCCTAAAAGCTTAGGAGAGGATTATATAGTGTCACTGCCACTCTCTGATGAGTACTGGTCAGTTATTCTCATAGAATGACTCTCAATCTGGGTTTGTCCGATGTTTTCTCAAGATTAGACTGAGGTTATTTTTAATATTTCATTTCTCTATTGCTAGAAAAACTACATCAATTGGAATCACTCCCTTCTGACTGTTGTGGTTCCCACCCCACCCACAGAAATGCTCAAGCCCATTATTAAAAGATGGAAAAGAATCTGTAATGGAACCATAATGGTAGAAGGAAGTTAAAATACTATATTGATCAATTTCTAGTGAAGTGACAGAAATTTGAACTGAGTGGCAGCTTTTGAAGCTCACTTATACTGTTCCTTACCTCACAGTTTTAAGATAAAGAACCACAAGGAGATATGACCTTACACCTATCAGCATGGTTAAACTCAAAGACAGGAAATAACAACTGCTGGTGAGGATGTGAAGAAAAAGGAACCCCTGTGTACTGTTGGTAGGAATGTAAATTGATGCATCCACTGTGGAAAACAGTATGGAAGTTCCTCAAAAAATTATAATCCAGTATAATCCATATTATAATATCATAATCCAATATTATAATCCATATAATCCAGTAATTCCACTACTATTTACACAAAGACAGCAAAAACACTAATTCGAAAAGATATATGGACCCCTATTGCAGCATTATTTACAATAATCAAAGTATGGAAGCAAGTCAAGTATCCATCCATAGATAAATGGATAAAGAAGATTTATGTGGTATATATGCACAATGCAATATTACTGAGCCATAAAAAAAGAATGAGATCTTGCCGTTCCCAACAACATAGATGGACCTAGAGGATATAATTCTAAGTGAAATAAGGCAAAGAAAAACAAATACCTTATGATTTCACTAATACGTGGAATCTAAGCAACAAAACAAAGAAAAACGGAAACAAATAAAAAGGCAGACTCTTAAATACAGAGAATAAACAGGTGACTCCCAGAGAGGTGGTGAGTAGGGGGATGTATGAAATAAAGGGGATTAAGAATGCACTGTTTATTTTTTTTCCCTTTGTAAACAGTTTTATTATCAGTGATATTAACAACACTATCTGCCACTTATATTTACATTCCTTTTTTTCATCTTTACAACAGCCTTATAAGGTAGATACAAATATTAGACACATTTCACAGATAAGGAAACAGGCTCAGAAAGGTTAAGAAACTTGCCCAGTCACCCAGTAAATAAGTGACAGCACAGGCCTCTCCCCAGAGAAGAGTTAGTGAACCCCTATCTCCCCATCCCGGTTACCTGGTAAAGGCAAACATCCGAACCCCATAACATACAATCTGGGAAATAAGTTTCAAAGCTCTTTGTGACTATGGATCTCACCAAACTCCAGGGGTCAAGGACAGAACCTTCCAGCAGTGTTCCTGGTCCATTTTGCACATAAATGCACTGCTTATGATGAGCACGAAGTACTGTATGGAATTGTTGAATCATTGCATTGTACACCTGAAACTAATATATAATACTATGCTAAGTACACTTCAATTTAAAAAAAAGAATTTTAGGGACAACTGGGTGGCTTAGTCAGTTTAATGTCTGCCTTCATGTCAGGTCATGATCTCAGGGTCCTGGGATTGAGTCTTGAGTCGGGCTCCCCGTTCAGGGGGGAGTTTGCTTCTCCCTTTCCCCCTTGCCCTGCTCATGCTCTCTCCTTCTTTCTTACTCTCAAATAAATAACATCTTTAAAAAAAAAGAATTTTAACTACAATTTTTAAAAATTATGTTTAAAAAACATTTGAGATCATGGTGCTTCCACACTATGAGATAGAGATGGATGAGGTTGGTAGAATGGACTTAGGGGGTGGACAGTTTTCTTAGCAAAATTCTGCTGGGAAACCAGTCTTTTTTCCAAACAAATTTAAGGGGTTGACTAAGCCCTCCTACATGCAAAAAAGCATATGATTTATGATCTGAAAAATAAGATGGACATGTTGTCTCAGTATTGCTATTGGCATTTAAGTGAATTCTAACCAAGAGTGGTTGGCATGACCATGGAAAGAAAAAGATGACCAGTAAAGTAAATGATATTGTGGCCTGATGGCAAGGGTAAGGTACATCAAAACTATAGGTCTGAATGAACAACTTAAGCCACTTGCAGCTAGAATGATGCTAACAAATCAAGAAGAGACACTGTAGAAAAATGAAAATTTAATTTGTAACAGAATAACATGTACTTAAAAAATGTATAAGTTGATATTCAGTATATTTTTAAAATATTTTATTTAGAGAGAGAAAGAGAGAATGTACACAAGTGGGGAAGGGGGAGGCACAGAGGGAGAAGGAGAAGCTGACTCCCTACTGGGAAGTTTTATGAAGCAGGGAGCCCCACATGGGCTCTGGATCCTAGGACCCTGAGACTACAACCTGAGCTGAAAGCAGATGCTTAACTGACTGAGCCACCCAGACACCCCAATATTCAGTATATTTTTGTGTGAGCTTACCCATAATGAAAGTTATTTATTGTGAATACTTTTTTGAACATTTTTAAAGTAAAGAATTAGGTTATACTTCTATAGTAGAAAATGGAATCTAGATGGGTTCCCGAGACCATCAGGTTACTGTAATAGTTTACAGAGACTCCTGGATGTTTGGTACCCAAAAGGGATATTTACAAAAATACATTTTTGCACAAAGACTTCTACATATATACAGATGTATGTATGAGAACAGAATATGCACTTTGGGGAAATTAAATAAGTATCATTTGAAAATGTGGACTTTTAAGTATGGTTATAAATCTTAAAAAGAAACAACTCTAATTGATTGCTCATGTGGGAGAAATTCTGGGTGTACTCTTTCTGGATGTACTTTCCTGTTCAATGTTACAACTATGGCACAGAGGGGTAATTATCAGTTTGTGAATTCTACTGTGAAAGAACCAAAGTGATCTCACTGGAAATGTTTCCCAGAGACTCTCCTTTGCTTTCTAAAATAATATAATTGGATGTGAAATGAACTTCTGGCACATATTAAGACATATATTGCAAATGATGGCAAAGTTGGAAAAACTAGAAGTGCCTAAATGCTACAGTTGGGCCAGCAAAGGGGGTATAGACTCTTGTGTTTGGAGGCTGGGACATATTAAATTACATAATCTTTTAAAAATGTAATAAACAATGTTCAGAAGGTTCCTAAAACAACTTCATGTTAATCTGGCTTTTGGTAAATAAAACTCTAAGGAAAACTTCCTTCCAAATGTGAATGTGTCACAGTGAAAATCTATTGACATGGAATGAAGATGAAATAAGCAATATTTTCCCTTAAATACAAAGGGATTTATGGCTATGATTCACTAATTAGAAACAATAACATGATTTAAAAGCTATAATAAATTTTATATGAGACTTGTAGTGAGACCAATTTACTTTCATGGATAATTGTCACAGTAAATAGAGGTTATAAACTATGCTATATATTATGGGATATTTTAATTCAGTATGATTAAGACGGAACAAAGGAGATAGTAGATTCTAAATAAATGATGATGATGTTGGATACTGCAAAATCAATTCAAAGGGCATTACGCGGTCCTGTTGTATGATGTCCATTTTATAAATGCCATAAGGTTTATTACATATAAGAAGTTGCTTTAGTCTTTCATAATATCTGAAGTTATTAATTGAATTAAGTAAAGTTTGATCATAAAAGAGAAGCACTTCAAAGAGCTTCATAGGCCAATCTAGCTTGATAAAGCTTATTCTACCTCAAAGAAAGTGTAGGCTTATTCAAAGTTATTCCTTTCTGACTAGTTCATTCTGATGTATTATTGTTCTAATTATTCAAACATGAGCTTGTAAAAAAATGAAAATCGTGAGTGTTATATAAAAAAAAGCAAGTCACAGATCACATTCATGTGCCTTTTTCATTGATCTACTGAGATCATTAAATGAGACAGTTATTTCCCATGGTGTCTAACATGGCATAATTTAATATTTGGCTGCTTGGATATTTCCTTGATATTTGTCACCAATACTGGGCAGTGTTCAATCAGAGAAACTGGATTAAATATTTTTAACATACATGAACGAATACTTTTTCAAAGGAGTGAAGGTGAGAGAGAAAATTTTGAAAATATTCTATAACAGAAAATTTTGAAAATATTCTATAAAGGTAGATTTATAGAAAGTAGGATGTTTATGTTCTCAGGGTTATGGTTTTATCTATGGAAGACATTTTTTATTTACATTTATAATTACATCATAAAATAGAATAAAGAAGAGAAAAGAATTTTTGTCACTTACATACCAGTTTTTTTCCTGAGTGTTCCGGAGGAGGGCAAGTTTTATTAGACATCTGAAATGTTACAATATGTAAACACAGTCACTTCCCCCGATTCAGAAAGTACTGTTGTTAAAAAAAAAAAAAAAATCTACTTAAATATATTTTTCCTGTAAGTATTTCACCTTTTATCTAAGATTTAAACAGCTTATCTTCTTCATATGCATTGTCCTACTAGTGGAAAAAGCTGAGTAAATCATATCACATCCTTTGTCCTACTAGTGGAAAAAGTTGAGTAAACCATATCACATCAGGGCCTCAGATTAGAAAACATATACAAAGTTCATTAGTTTTTCAAAGTATGGCAATTACCCCACTAATGGGTTGCAACTAGTTTTTATAAAAAAAAAAAAAAAAGGAAATCGACTCAATTTGAATAGAAAATATACACGCATCATAGTCTGTAAATTTTGTTTCAGTTTTATATATATGGACACATACTGTGTAATGTCAAATGTATTCCTTAATATAGTTTGCAGGCAAAAAAGGTTTGAAAAGTACAGTTTTAATGATTCATAAATACCTTCTAATTCTAAAATAAAATCATTCAAGTTTCCAGGTCAGAGATCCTAAAAATGACCTCCTTTAACATAGTGACATAGTTTAGTGCCTGAGAGACACTAGCAGCTATTCATTCACAAGGGCATTTAGTTGAAATGACTAGAGAATATTTACTCTCTTAATTAGTTCTAACTGTTAATATCCATTGTATTTAAAAGACATTTTGTTGAGCTTTCACCTACTCAAAAAATCCAACAAAATGTTAGGCATAAACAATTTAGTTTAGTCTACAAATATTAATTTGTAGATGTATGTCACATATACATATGCCACATACCGTGGTAAGGAGCTGGGAGATGTAAAATGAATTGGTATGGTCCCAACTGTGTTTATAATTTTTAGGAAAATATCAGATATAAAAAGAGAACATCCTATCCATAACCAAGGAGTAAAGTTCATATGTGCACTACTATGAAATATTATCCTAATAATCACAAATTCAAGTTGTTGTTTTTTGAGTATCTAATTCACTCATTCAACAAACATTTACCGTATGCCAGGTGCTTTACTAGGTTGGATGTTCCAAGGCTAAAATGACAAAGTCCATACTCTCAAGGAATTTATATAACAATCAAAAATATAGAAAATAAGTAAACAAAAAAAAATCAAAGCGGTAAGTGTTATAATGATGTAATAGGCATTAACTAGGAGTCACTTGTTATTGGATAGTCAAGAAAGGCCTCCCTGTAAGTAGATAGTTTTAAATAAAACTGAGATATAAGAGACAAAAATAAGACAGCAACTTAAAGCTATGAGAGGAATATTCCAGGAAAAGGGATATTGGGCAAATGCCAGACCCAAGGCAGAGAAGAGTTTGGAATGTTTGAGGAATAGTAAGTAGGCGAGAATGGCTGGGGTTTAGTGAAGAAAGAATAGTAGATGAGGTGAGAGATGTAGGAGAGAGCCACACTGAGTAAAGCCCTATAAACTGTGGTAGTGTTTAGAGTATACTTTCATTGCCTGGGGGAGTCATTTGAGAGCCATAAGCAAAGGACTTCTGGGGTATGATTTTTTTTTTTTTAAGACAGTAGGGCTACTAATATAGAAAATAGATTTTAGGGGATCCCTGGGTGGCACAGCGGTTTACTGCCTGCCTTTGGCCCAGGGCGCGATCCTGGAGACCCGGAATCGAATCCCACATCGGGCTCCTGGTGCATGGAGCCTGCTTCTCCCTCTGCCTCTCTCTCTATCATAAATAAATAAAAAAAATTAAAAAAAAAGAAAATAGATTTTACACAGCTAGAATGAAACTAACATAGTTAAGAGGCTATTACAGTCAGTAAGGTGAGAGGTGGTTGTGGCTTAGACTGAAGTAGTACCAGTGGAGATGCAAGTAGACTTGGAAAAAGTTTTGGAAGTACAATACAGTATTTACTGACAGGCTACATATAGGAGGTGGAGAATCGACAATACCTCCTAGAATTTTAGTTTGTGCAACTAAGTGGATAGTTTCATCAACTGCAGTGGGGAAGCCTATTTGGGGGGTGCGGTGGAAGGAATCCAGAATTCTGTCTGGGATATGTTAACTTGGAGATGTGTATTAGCTATCTAAGTGAATATGTCAAGAAAGCAGAACTGGGCCTCAGAGGAGAATTTGGGATTCATCAGCATATAAGTAGTATTTATAGCCAAAGGACTGGTACCTCCATGGGAGTGCCATGCAATATCTCTTTTAATTTTGATAACAATTCAAAGTAGGTATTTTTCTTTTTATATAACTATAATTAGCTTCTTTTTATACACGAGCAAATGGGATGCTCAGAGATACACATTCCAAAAGTCAACCAGCTACTAAATATTGGAGTTTGGGTTCAAATCTGTCTGATAGAGTTCGTGTTCATTCTATTGTTTTCTTGAAGCATTAGAATACATGAATTTCTGAGTGGAAGGTTTTTAATTTTTTTTGAATGAAGAATTTCTAAAAGGTCTGTTAAGTTTGCAGAGAATGAAGCTCATTCAGAATCGAGTCCAAGTTTCTAAGCTCAATAGTCTTTTCTGTCCTTATGTGGCTGATGCTATTGATAGTTCCTTTTTCTTTTTTAAACTCTACTCCCTTGGCTTGTGGGATATGACCCTCCTTTCTCCCTATCTTGATTGCCTCTTCATTGTTCCTTAACTATGGCTATAATGTAGAGATTTTTAGCCTTCTTTCCTCATTTTACATATTCCCTTTACAATTTTATGTTTCCATCGTTTCAAATATTAAATATATGCATATGAATTTAAATTTCTTTTCTTCTACTCCAGACACGTCTCCCTAGCTCTAGTAGACTAGGTCTAATGGTTCCAGAAAGCAAATAGCTTGGTGGGTGAGGGTGGGAAAGGAGGCTCCCCGCCGTGAAGTGGCAGAGGAGGAGCGAAGTGCAGGGACTGGGACGGTCTCATTTGTACATTTATTCCGTATTTCATTCATTCACTTATTTATAAGGATTTACATGTTGGCTGGTCTTACGAGTTTTCAAATCTAGCATGGCAGACGGTGATCCAGGTTGCCAAGAAGACTTCACGTGAACCTTTATTTACTCAGTCCTCGGCCACACAAACATAATGCGTAAATGCAGAATCCCGCTTAGTCTCTCAAAGAGATTTAAACAAATGTTTGGAGTGCATCAGTTTAGTCGGACATTCTAAAAGAAAAATGGAAAGCAAATCCCATTACGGAAAGAGGAAAGCTGGCAAATAAAGGACTGGAGCAGATGTGACATTGCAGCAGAGCATGAAGAGAACAAGGTTAGGGAGTGGGAAGAAAACGAATACACCTATGTAGGAAAAAATGAAAAGCCGGAGTGGCGCATATTAAAAAAACAAAAACAAAAACAAAAAAAACAACCCGCATTTGCTAAAAATCCCTGGTAAAAAAAAGTCACCTCGTCCTGGGCGGACTTCACCTTCCGGCTCTTAAGTCACGGCGTCCTCAGAGTCCCGGAACGCCGCCAGCCGCCAAGCTCGCCCCGCTCGCTCCGCTCGCCCCGCCCCCTTCCCCAACTTCCCTGCCGGGGGGCCGCGTGCACGTGCGCGGCGGATCCCGCCCCCTCCGGCCCTCTCGACCAATGAGAAAGGGCGTCGTCGTTCGCCACCGCCCGGTCGCAGGTCACGTGACGGTGTCTCCCCGCCCTCTCATTCCCTGCCTCTAGGTTCTGAGAAGATGGCGAAGGTCTCAGAGCTTTACGATGTCACTTGGGAAGGTAACTGCGGGCGGGGAGGGCGCGGAAAGACCAAAAGCCCTGGGAAGCGGTTCGGCAGTACGTGCTGCCGGGCGGAGACCTGGATTCTTTGGTCTGTCTTCTGCACTGGAGCTCTCTCCGGACCGGCCAAGCTGAGGAGGTGGCTGAGGTGGATTTTGAGGCTGACCCTCTCCTTGGCCCGGCCGCCGATTGGCGTCTGTGGTGTTCCCCACCGCTTGTGCTCATCAATAGACTGACTGACCCATGTACCTCCGCGCTGTACAGTAGCCCAGGATGGCTTCCACTCAGAGACGGGAGGGCCGTCACGCGTTTCATGTGGCTGCTGGGAGGCGCGGAGGCGGCGGGATGGTTCCCTGCTGAAGCTTCCCTGCAGCCGAGAAATACAGGGCCTCCAAGGCCTTTTATTAAGCTGTGTGAGGGTTACGACTCTGTGCTTTAAAGGTCTGTGGGAGACCCGTGAACAAAATTGATCCTCCCACGTGCCGCTTTACATTTCGTTCTCTGCCACACTGGGTCTCTCATTTCTCTTCTTCAATATCCGCTCCCGCATTCCCCTCAAAGCACACTTAGACACGTAACACAACTTTCTTTTTACTTCCTGCCAGTAATTCCTTTTCTGAAAGGGGAAAAGAACTGGTTATTTTAGGTGTATGCTCAAGTGTGATGGACTTCTTTTCCCATTCTACTTTAAGGGAGAGTGTTCTTTAAATCTGGAAGCAGCCAAACTTGGAGCCCGTTTGATAAGAGATTTTTGTGTTCTTAAAAACCTTAGTGGGAAGCATGGTTAAGAGCCTTGAGTTTCTTTCTCTAAGGCATGGTAGTTGTGTAATTGAAATTTCTATTCCCGTTATTTAACGGTAGCTTTAATAGCTTATTTGTTTAGTGAATGCCTTCTTCAGATACTTAAACAGTGACCTGATAACATGTGGACTGAAAGTTATATTGGCCGTTTGATGGTGACTGTATCTATCGGATATTACAAAATTGCAAACATATGTGGGAAAAGGTAAAATTCCTTTATACCTGAACTGAATTGAGTAATTTATCATTAGTTTTGTGGCCTCTAGCTCACTGTGAACCTCAGTATTTCTACCTGTATTGGGGGAGTTCATTATATTAAATAAAAGTATTAGCTGCTTAGTGCTAGATATTGGGTATATTAAATTAAGGAACACACAGTCCTTACCTTTAGGGAATTCACAGTCTAAGGGAGAGGACAGACCTGTAAAATACATAGTTTTAAAAGGCTTCTGTCAACTGTATATTCTGAAGCCAGATGGTAGATATGTGGCTGTTACTTCTAATGCTTTTTAAAATTTTTTTCAATTATTTCATACTTTTTAGAAAGTGCTCCTTTGAAGGTATGTTCAATTCAGTTTCTTAGATGGTAGGAGCAAGTAGATATGACCTATTAGCAGATAAGGTAATGATTTAGTAGGTAACTTGGATCTTACCCTGTGGGTATTGTAAAGAGGAGTGGATTTAGAATAATAAATACAAACTACTTCACAAGTATGATTGAACAAAAGAGAAAACATGTTAAAATGCTTTTACACCATTAAGTGCTCTATAAAAAGATGATCTAGCTCCTTGTCCATGACTCCCACTTTATCTTAATTATTTCCCCCCTTACTCTTTGGGCTGGCTATGCTGGCTTTTGTTGAATTCCCTAAATGTGTTCTGCTCCTCTTATCTTAGAGCTGGACAGATGCTATTTCTTCCTACTGGGAGTGTTTTTCCTTTCTTGCTCTAGTCTTGCTACCATTATACATTACCGTTTATCAGAATTTCCCTCAAAGGTCGTATATTTTGGAGAGCTTTCCTTGACCACCCTATCGTATCCCTTTGCCAAAATTTTTTGAAAAAAAGAATAAAAACAACAACAAAAGCAACAAAATGTACTTCTGGTCCTTTAACTCTGTGTCCTCATATTATTGAAGTGCTTATCCAATTTGTTAAGTTTTAAAATTTTGTTCCCTAGAATGAAGGGAGGGCCAGCCTGTTTTATTCTTGTGCTAGACATTTTGGAAGAGCTTAGTAATTGTTTACTAAGTGAATTGTTAATAGCATTAATAATAAACATTAACAAACTGTCACAAAAGACTATAAGTCATTTTTCAAGTGTTGGAAAAATTTCTGTACCTTAGGTAGACTTAGGCAGCTCATTCTACTAATAGGGTATAGTTTACTTATTTGGAAAATGAAGGTTTCAGACTTTTCTGGAATAAAAGTTCTGTTTCAGGGCTTTTAAAGAGATCCCAGATTTTTCTTTCAAAGACTTATAGTAACACATTTTTAGGATGTTAGAGGGTGATGGAGGACTCTTGAAGATAGTTTTTTGTTTAGATTTTTTGGGGAGGGCATGTCAGCTGGACCTGTGTCCTTAAGAATTCCATTGTATAGCATCATGAATTAAAGCTGTGGAAATGGCTTGTTCAAAAAGTACTGTAGTTCTTGTGATAGGAGGATTTGTCACATTTATAAAAGACCCATGTAGTAAGTCTAACACTCTTTTAATCTATTGAACTCTATAAAAAAAAAGTAGAATATATGGTTTACCTATTCAGCCAGTTGAAAATGAATGCTGTTTGTTAGAGTAGTTACTGCTTAGGAGTTTAGAGGTGGGAAAGAGAGTTGTAAGAAGGGTATAGCCAAGTTTCTCAAAAATAAGATGTTTGGCCAGGATATGGATAGGATGTCTAGCACACTGCCTTGCCTATAATAGGTACCAAATGGACATTTGTTGAAAAAATACTTGTAAAAATGTTTACTCTCTCTACTTTCTCTTTATTCAGTCCTTCAAACCATAATTTGGTTTCTATGCCCTATCATTCCAGTAAGGTTTCTAGGGAGACCTAATGCCAGGTCTCATGAATGTGTTTTTTTTACACCTGTACTATATTTGTTGTTGCATATCACTCCATGAAACATTCTTTCCTTGGTTTCATAATAACATTAGGGGTCTCACTTTTCAAGCCTTACCTTTGTGAGTTTTCTGTATCCATTTATTTGCTCCTTGATTTTTAGTGTCCTTAATAGTTCTTAGCACTCTATTAATAATCAGTGGTTTATTAAACCTGAGACCAACAGCCTCCAGACTGATGGAGGGATAAGTTTTATGTGGTTTTTGAATTCTATGAAATTGTATGTAAGATTGAGTATATGTAAACATGTACATATTTCTGGGAAAAAGAGGGTTCAAAGGTCTCATCAGCTTCAAAGAGTACAAAATTAAAAAGTTAAATGCCTTCTGTGGTTGATCTAATTCACATGTAGCTTTAACTATTGGCCTATATACTAAATAACATGTTAATTAAATACATAGCTGGAGTACTTGTAACAGGCACTGTTCCACTTCTTGAGGATACAGTGCTGAACATGACAGGCAGGATCCCAGATCTCATGGAACATACCCTGAGATTTCACTTCTAAGCTAAAGATCCATATTTATGAATATGTTTATGTTTTGTGAAAGTAATTTTTTTTTCAAGGTAAGAGCTAGGTTGTCACCTTGAATGCTAGCCTAATTTGGGTTCAGCATGTGGGCAAAGGGTGCGATGTTATGGAACAGATCTGTAAAACACGAATTTATATTCCCAAGACACTTAACTCCTCTTTTAAAATAATCTGCCAGGTTGGTGTGCCTGGGTGGTGCAGTCATTTAAGCATCTGACTCTTTTGATTTTGGCTGAGGTTATAATCTCAGGGTCTTTAGATGGAACCTTGGGTCAGCCTCTGTGCTCAGCAGAGTCAGCTTGGGTTTCTCTTTCCATCTCCCTCTGCCCTTCCCTGCTCGTGCACGCATGTGCTTTCTCTCTCTCTAAAATGAATAAATAAATAAATCTTTAGAATAAAATAATCTGCAAGTGAACTGTGGTATAGGGGATAGAGTTTGAATGAATTCTGAGAGCCCATGCTTTGGTTCTAAGCATAAGGTTCTGTTGTGATGTAATAAGGGATGTGTATTTGGTTTTTTTGTCCCCAGTTGTGTCACAGAGCTCCTAAACCCTTAGAAATTTCTTGAATGATAAGGTTAGTAGCAACAGCTTTTGTTATATTTAATCTTTTTTTCTGGGTTTTTGACTTAAGAGCCTCTAAGATCTTTGGAGTTTCTAGAATGTTGAGTATCTTTTTGTATGCTAATGAGACTGTTGGTGGCTGGATAGCTTCAGATTGGGGGCTGGTCATCCAAAAGACCAGGGAAAGTAAAAAATTGGAACTCTCATTTCTTGACTTCCTGGGAGAGGATCTGGAGATCAATCATGCCTTGGAATGAAGCCCCCATAAAACCCACTAAGCTATGGTGTTTGGAGAGCTTCCAGGTTGGTAAGCACCTCAAGGAAGGTACTAGGATGGTGTCTTGCTGAGAGAGAGTATGAAAGTTCCTCTGCTTTTCTTTTCTCCTCTCACTTTGCCCTATGTATCTCTTCCATTTGGCTTTTCTTAGTTGTAGTTTTTATAATAAATCCATAATAGTAAGTGAAGCACCAATCTGAGTTCTGTGAGGTATTCTCACAAACATGAGGAGGAGGTTGTGAGAACCCCAGACTTTATAGCCAGTTAGTCAGAAAAACTGGTGGCCCTGACTCTTGATTGGTGTCTAAGTTTTGTGGGACTGAGCCCTTAACCTGTGGGGTATGAATGACCTACTTTATTTTTTTATTTTTTAAATTTTTTTGTCAGTTCATTTCCTCTTGAACTTTGTAAGAATCAGTTCAAGGTTATTTCCTTTGCGGAGTGAGAGTCAAGCGATTTCTGGTTGTCAGTAGAAGGAATTAACTGTGTTAATTTGATTTTTAAGACCATTTAGGATCTATTTTTGTCTTGCAATTTTTTTTTAAGACTTTGAGCTATAGGAACTCAGATAATGCATATGAAAGTAGTGAAAATTCCATGTTTTTTTTATACTTATTCTCTAGGGGCCAGCTTATGTGTTCAACAATTTAACTGTTTAAATCTCTTCTGTGTCTGTAGAAGAAAGAGGTGGTACCCAGATGAATAAATATGTTAGATTTTCTCAGGTAGGAGTAAGAAATCATATATGTGATTGGCAAATTGGATAGCTCATTCTACCATAACTATATGAAAAAGGGACCTTTTGTTTACTGGATTAGATACTCCCAGTTATTTCTGTTGTTATCAAAATACTGTTCATTACAACTCCTCAGTTTCCTCTTTTTTTATGATATGCAGAGTTGTTCTTGTGACTCTTTTGCTAGTGCTTTTTACCTTACTTTACATTATTATTTTCATTTATTATTATATATATAATTGAAAGATTTCCTTTGTTCTGATTCTTTTGCTGTTTATTTTCTTGCATAGCTGTGTATCTTTATACATTATATGTACTGTTAATGTTATTAGGAAGTTTTATGATGAATGTTCTTTCAGTGCAGACAGCCTAATATGATCCCCTGATTATGAAATTTTACATTCTTGAGTGGGTGAGCTTCAGGAGTACTTTGGATTTTTGAGATTTCTATGAATAATTTTATGTTCCCCCCTGCAACCCCCAAAAATTATCCCTAGCTTTTATCAAGTTCTGAAAATTGTCTCTAACTTCAAAAAAGTTAAGATCCATAGTTGCTTTAGATCTTAAATCTTTGTAGCAAACCAATCCTATTCATTACTTTTATATAGTTGTAACATTAGTTGTAATGTCTTTAATCTTCTAAAGGATCTGTTGTTTTTGTTAAATTTATTTTCTGCTTTCTGAATTTTGACATACCATAGACTTATATCAGTGTGACTTTATTTTCTCTGCCTGAAAAGTTGATTTCAATTTCCTTATCAATTTTTGACACTGATCAAATATATATGTAATAACAAGCTTTATTTTTTTCAGAAATGCGAGATAAAATGAGAAAATGGAGAGAAGAAAACTCACGAAACAGTGAGCAAATTGTGGAAGTTGGAGAGGAATTAATTAATGAATATGCTTCTAAGCTTGGAGATGATAGTAAGTGCTTTATTCATGCTCTTTCCTGTTATGTTTTGGGTTTTTTTTTATTTATTTATTTTTTTGGTTTTTTTTTTTTTTGGTTTTAGTTTTTTTTTATTTTTTTATTTATTTTATTTTTTTTGGTTTTAGTTTTTTTAAAAAGCATCTTTTCATTACGTTTTTCCTGCAGTCTATGATTTGCCCCCTATTTAAAAAAAAAAATTCAGGATGTCTAATGATGCATTATTTTGAGAAGGATTTCTAAATTGCTGGTTGTAGTGAAGCATTCAAATAGACATTTTTGCTTCAAAGCTCAGAGGGCTATAGTCTTGGTCTGGTCACAATGTATTTCATAAAGAATTTTTTAGTAACGCCTGTGTGGCTCAGCTGTTGGGAGGCTGCCTTCGGCTTAGGTCGTGATCCCAGGATCTGGGATCGAGTTCCACATCGGGCTATTCTGAGGGAGCCTGCTTCTCCCTCTGCCTATTTCTCTGCCTCTCTGTGTCTCTCATGAATAAATAGATAAGTCTGTAAAAAAAAAAAGAATTTTTTAGAAGAGGAAAGGTATTAAATAATAGATTTTTTTTAACCTTCTAAGATATTAAAATATTTTATATTACTGAAAGCATAGAAGAATTCTTTCTTAATCTATATATAATGCAGTAAAACAATTTTCAGTTACAAGTAATGTTCTCTAAAATATCAGAAACAAGAAAAATGTCTGATTTCTTTTGGGAGATTTTTACATTAAGTTCAATTTTTTTTTTCTCTGTGTCTAGTTTGGATCATATATGAACAAGTGATGATTGCAGCCCTAGACTATGGCCGAGATGACTTGGCATTGGTAGGTATTTAAACTATAATTATATTTTATTTTATTTTAAATTTACTTCGTGAATTATAAGTACCTAAGCTTTAGTACATGGCTTGTACTTGAATGCTTTTATAGGTGAATTTCAGTGCTACTCCTAAGAGTAGGTGAGACTAACTAGGTACTTTGGGACACTTAAATCTTTTTAACAGTCTTGGGAAGTAGATATTTAGTATCCCAGTTTTACTGAAAAGGTTAAATTGGTTGGTGAAGGTTGTCCACTTAACAGGTGAATGATGCTATTATAGAGTTTAAAAAAAGAAGCAGATAGTTTAAAACAAGTTTATCTTTTGGGTTTTTGAATGACTTTTATAACACAGTAGAGTCACTGACTCATGATGATTTGACTTACAGTTTTTCAACTTAATAATGGTCTGAAAGCAATGCACATTCACTGGAAACTATACTTTGAATTTTGATCTTTTCCTAGGCTAGTGATAAGTGGTACAATACTTTCTTATGATGCTGTGTGGTGGCAGTGGGCCCTACCCTCCCAGTCAGCCATATGATAATGATCACCAGGGTAAACAACTGATAAACTTACTACCATTCTGTACCCATACAGACATTCTGTTTTTCACTTTCATATAGTATTTAGTAATTAAATATAGTAATACTGTATTTCATATAGTATTTAGTAAATTTAGTAAACATGAGATAGTTGATGTCTTATTATACAGTAGGCATTGTGTTAGAAGATTTTGCCCAACTATAAGCTAAAGTGTTCTGAGCATGTGTCAGGCAAGCTAGGCTAAACTATGCTGTTCAGTAGGTTAGGTGTTATTAAACACATTTTTGACTTTCAATATTTTGAACTTAATAATTTATTTGTTGGGATTTATTGGGATGTAACCCCATCATAAGTGGAAGATCTGTACATAATGTTAAATACTATTTTGCATTGTTGTAAATGTATCTCTTAAATTATTAGAAAATCCTAACATGTATAGAACATGACTTAGAATATTAATATTGCGGGATCCCTGGGTGGCGCAGCGGTTTGGCGCCTGCCTTTGGCCCAGGGCGCGATCCTGTAGACCCGGGATCGAGTCCCACGTCGGGCTCCCGGTGCGTGGAGCCTGCTTCTCCCTCTGCCTGTGTCTCTGCCTCTCTCTCTCTCATTCTATGTGACTATCATAAATAAATAAAAATTAAAAAGAAATTAAAAAAAAGAATATTAATATTGCTTTTAGAATAAAAGAATGATAATAGCTATATTTTTGAATACTCATGTGATAGCCATTGTGCTAAACGCTTTATATCATACTTTATTTAATCTTCACAGTTATTTCTTGATTTGTGCTTGATACTATCATTATATTCATTTTGTAAATGAAAAAGTGAAGGTTTCTGGTTTTTCATTTTATTGTTCTATATTCCAGAGTTCTTCAGTACAACTTCATGCTATTTCCTCATTTAAGCCAAAAAGAAAGTACATGCAAACAAAGTAGAAATATTAGGAGAACATATGCATATCTGAATTAGCATTGCTTTTTTTCTAAGGTAATTTATGTTACATTGCCTATATATTTAATTTCAGTGGAGCTACTAGTGGTAAAAGAAAAAGTGTTCCATTAAACCTTTTAGATTACCATCAGAACCTATGAGATAGTCTGTCTGTCTATCTATCTATCTATCTATCTATCTATCTATCTATCTGGGGGGGAGGGGTATAGGAGAGGGGGAGAGAGAATCTCAAGCAAGGCCTATGCTCAGTGCAGAGCCCAACCCAGGGCTTGATCCCATAACCCTGAGATCATCACCTGAGCTGAAATCAAGAGACGCTTAACCAATTGAGCCCTGAAATAGTCTTTCAAATATTCATAGAGATTGCAGCTTGCATCTTAAGGGAAATGTTTAGTTGTTTTTTAAGAAGCCAAATGCCATTTGATGAAGTAGGAGATCAAATTAGATAATATTGGTAACCAAAGTCAGAGATCAACTTAAATGGTAGCTTTTTTTGTAACATAGTATTTTTTTAATGTTCAGAATTTCTATACAGCTTGATTAACCAAGTAGTATGAGTTGTGCATGGTGTCAAAGAAATAAACAAACATCATCTCCAGTTTTGACTAACTTGAATATTTTTCTTAGTGTGGCAGATGTTTAGCCACGTACTTGGAAGCTATACTTCCAGATCATGTTATAACTTTTTTATTACTAATTAATAGTTTCTTCGCTAAGGAAAGGTATTTTTTTTTTTTTGGTCACTTATGCTTTGGGGCACTAGAATGGACTGTTTTTATAATCCTTAACATTTTAGTGCTTCTAAGACTCTTAAAATCCTCATATGTTGCTGAGAACATAGTTGGTACTCAATAAATACTTGATTATTTATTTATTTATTTAAGTTGATAGGTGGATTATGGATCTCTCCCAAAGGGGATTGGTACTCTAGATTTGGTGTCGGTATTTTATAATCCCAAGTCAGGGTATGTGTACTGACAGGATGATTGATTAATATATGATTTCAACAGGGCAAAAGTGTTATAGTATTTGGAGGACTTGAGAGTACTATCAAAGAGCTTAATATATATGAAGAGAATGCTTAGATAATAGAAACTAAAAGCCAGGAAGTTGTTATAAGGGTTTAAGTTGGGCCATTACGGAAGCAATTCTGAAGGAGGAGTAATATGGCAACATCTAAAGAGTTATTAGTGTATCCCATGACCTGCTTATTTTCCCAGTTAAGAGCATGATCAGTTTCTGAGTACTGTAATTTCGGGGTTCTTCTTTTATCCCTTATTCATTACCAATTAATTTCACTTCATGTTGTTAGAGTACACTAATGAAATGATTTAAGAAGATACATTGAAGATTATATAGGCCATTCCCTCTAGCTCATTTAGTATATGTAATGTAATTCCTACTTCTTAAGTCTTTTTTACCAATTATTTTTTCAGTTTTGTCTTCAGGAGTTGAGAAGACAGTTTCCTGGCAGCCACAGAGTCAAGAGACTAACAGGCATGAGATTTGAAGCCATGGAAAGGTAACTGAACCTTAAAAACAGTATAATCTCAGGGAATGCCTCAGTGGCTCAGTGGTTGAGCTTCTGCCTTCAGCTCAGGGCATGATCCCAGGATCCTGGGAATGAGTCCCACATCGGGCTCCCTGTGGGGACCCTGCTTCTCCCTCTGCCTCTCTGTGTCTCATGAATAAATAAATAAAATCTTTTAAAAAACTCCAGTCTAATCCCATTTTAAAATGATAAATGTGGGGTCTAGATATAGGTCCTCCTATACTCATGACAGCATCATTAAGTGTGCAAGAACTTTTGCTTTTGAGCTGCAGAATAGTGTCAGTGCTTTCTCAGCATAAATCTTGCCAGTTACTCCCAATAAATAGGATTTGACATAGGAGTGCAATTTACCATCTCTGACCTAGTGAAATGGGTTTGTGTTTTGGAGTAAGGACTGGTTTTATATCCTGTTTCTACGATTTATTAGCTGTTTATCTGGCACATAATTCAACTTATTTAAATCTTTTAGCCTTATTTCTCTGTAAAATGAGAATATTACCAACTTGTCAGGATTGTTTTGGGAGTTAGTAATGACATATGTGTAGTACCCTGACAGGTATTCAAGGCATAGAAGCTATTACTATTTCTTAAATGGGATATAGTTGGCATTATATTAGTTTCAGGTACATGACATCATGATCTGATATTTGTGTATATTGTGAAGTGATTACCACAGTGGGTTTAGTTAACATCCATCACCATACATTGTTACAATTTTTTTTTCTTATGAGAACTTTTAAGATTTTCTCTCTTAGCAGCTTTCAAGTACATAACACAGTATTGTTAACTATAGTAACTATACTGTATATTATATTCCCCAGGACATATTTTATAACTGGAAATTTGTACCTTTTGAGTACTGTTACCTATTTTCCCACCCCCAGTGCCTACCTCTGGCAACCACTAATCTGTTCTCTGTCTCTAGGAGTTTGTGTTCTTTTTGATTCCACATATAAGTGAGATCATATAGTTTTTGTCTTTCTCAATTACATTTAGCATATGCCCTAAAGTTCCATCCAAGTTGTCATAAATGGCAGATTTTTTTTCTCTTTTATGACTGAATAATATTTCATGATACCAGTCTTCTTTATCCACTCATTTGTTAATGGGCTTTTAGACTATTTCTGTGTATTGGTTATTGCAAATAATGGTGCAATGAATGTGAGGTTGAAAATACCTTTACAAGATAGTGATTTTGTTTGCTTTGGTTAAATACCTAGAAGGAGAATTGCTGGATCAAATGGTAGTTCTATTCTGAATTTTGTAAGAGACCTCTACTGTTTTTCATAGTGGCTGTGCCAATTTACATTCCCACTAACAGTGCACAAGAGTTCCCTTTTCTCTCCATCCTTGGCAAGACTTGTTATGTCTTGTCTTTTTGATAATAGCCATTCTAATATGTGTGAGCTAATAGCTCACTGTGGTTTTGATTTTCATTTCCCTGTTGATTAGTAATGTTGAACACATTTTCATGTACCTGTTTGCTATCTGTATGTCTTCCTTGGAAAAATATTCAGTTCCTCTGTCTCTTTTTACTTAGGTTTTTTTTCTTTTTTCTTTTTTTTTTTTTTTTGCCATTTATTGTATGAGTTCTTTATACGTATTAGATACTAATTCTTTAGCTCATTTATTGTATGAGTTCTTTATACGTATTCAGTTCCTCTGTCTCTTTTTACTTAGGTTTTTTTTCTTTTTTCTTTTTTTTTTTTTTTGCCATTTATTGTATGAGTTCTTTATACGTATTAGATACTAATTCTTTAGCTCATTTATTGTATGAGTTCTTTATACGTATTAGATACTAATTCTTTAGCTATTCTTTAGATACTAATTCTTTACTTTTCAAAGTATTTGAAAGCATCAGATAATTTGCAAATATTTTTCCAATTCCATAAATTATGTTTTCATTTTTGTTGAGTGTTTTCTTCGTTGTACAGAAACTTTTGAGTTTGATATAGTCCCACTTTTTTTTTTGTTCTTGTTGGCCTTTTTTTTTTTATAACCTCAGTTATAGTAGCTTTTAGTAAGTAGAATGTATCGATATAATTTTTCTTAATCTCTTTAATCCTTAACTTTTGACTTCTGTGTTTGTGTATATGTATAGTTTAATCCCATTGGATTGTCTTTGTAAGCAATCAAAGAGCATAGGTAAAGAAAAATAAATAAAATAGTATTATTTTAGGTTAGCAGAAAGTAATTTAGATTCAAAGGACAGAATGGAGGAAATCTACAACGGATTGTTCCTGAATCTGTTCTCGCTAATATTTTTTGTTTTATTTCAAGTGGTATAAATTTCTAGACTATTCTTAAAATGTATTAATACCCAAACATCCCAGAATCCAAGATGGTTGATTTTTAAAATTATCTTGTAAAGGTTTGAGAGTTACTAGTTTCCAAAGCACACATTTTAAGTAGTTACTATCCCTCTACCCGCCTTCCAATCATGCAAAAAAATTGATAGGGTAACAATTTATTTATTTATTTATTTTTAAAGATTTTATTTATTTATTCATGAGAGAGGCAGAGACATAGGCATAGGGAGAAGCAAGGCTCCCTGTAGGGATCCTGATGTGGGACTTGATCCCAGGACCCCAGGATCATGACCTGAGCCAAGGGCAGACGCTCAACCACTGAGCCACCCAGGTGCCCCACAGTAATTTATTCTTAAGTTTTCTAAGACACAGGTGAACTCTAATTCTTTTAAGCCGTACTCTTTAATTGAAACTCATGTAATCATTTTACTCAATAAGGTTTTACTGCTTTTTTTCTTGGAAGAATGATTACTATGTGTCTTCATTACATAGGACCATTAATAATTGATTCTCATACACAATTGTGTGAATTAGAGTGATCTGTGGAATTTAAAATACATAGTTCCCTACTCCCCACTTAACTGAGATCACTTTTTTAGGAGTGTAATCAGAATCTTTCTTTTAAAAAAAGCCCTTCAGGAGAATAGACAAGTAGGTTTACAAGTAAGTTTAAGAACATTGCTGACTAAAAGTAAATTCTTGTGGACCTTCGGTGTATTAGGATTCTCTAGAGAAACAGAACCAAGAGGATATTGATGTACATATACATGGGTGGGAGGAGAGAGGAAGGGTGTATAGGGAGAGGGAGAGGCTTATTATGAAGCAATCAAGGAAGCTGAGAAGTCCTAGAATCTGCTGTCTGCAACTTGGGAGACCCAGGAAAGTTGGTACTGTAATTCAGTTTGAATCCCAAGTCCAAAGGCCTGAGAGCCAAGGAAGCCAGACTGAGGACAGGAGAAAATGAGATGAGATGTCCCAGCTCAAGTAGTGAGGCAGTAAAAAGGAGTGAACAACTCTCTTTCCTTTGTAGTTTTATTCAAGCTCTCAAAGGATTGGGTCATGTTCACCCACATTGGGGAAGGCAATCTATTTTAGCAGTAAATCTGTCCACAGATTCAAATGCTAATCTTATCTGAAAACATCCTTAGACATACCCAGGAATAATATTTAATCTGGGCAGTGCATGGTCAGTCAAAGTGATCTGTCACACTCAGAGAAATTAACCATCACAATCAGTTTTTACAGAACTTACTATTTTTTTATACTAAAATTTAAATATATTTAAGTAAACAACTAGCTATTAATGTTTTGTATGTATAGTTTTTTGTGTTTTTTTTTTTTTCTTAAGATTTTACTTATTTGAGAGAAAGAGAGAGATCGTGCACAGGCTGGGGGAAGGGGCAGAAGGAGATGGGGAAGCAGACTCTGTTGACATGGGGCTCAATTCCAGGACCCTGATATTATGACCTGAGCCAAAGGCAGATTCTTAACTGATTGAGCCACACAGCGGCCCCTATGTATATAGTTTTTGTACAACTATAAAAACGATGTAAATTTTCTGATAATACCAAAAAAACTAGAAAACTGCTAAAATATAGATTATCATTATATTAGTAAAATGAAGTTTCCTATTGTCTTCTGTCATTTGGTGTGTTTTCTAAAGCTTATGTAGTTGGAAAAAAGATTCCCAGGGGGTTCTCATTCTCATGTACTGTATCTTGTGAGCACCCTTGCTCTATAACATTAATTTTGTCCTTGTTTATATACTTCATTGTCTTATTAATATTTAATGATTTTTATTTTACGTTTCTCCATTTAGTTGCAGGTCTCTTGAGGCTAGCATCCTTACTGTATTACCATGAATTTGAGGTCCAAACTAATTTTATTTGAACTAGTCAAGTCTGATTGACTTAGTGTGCCATGATGTTATTTGGCCTCCATATGGTATGAACACATTTACAAATTAAGTCTGCTTTTATTTTTCTCAGTTGTCTACTACAGTTAAAGTAGTCTTACCTACTAGCATGATTATAATCACAAAGAGGCTTGGGTGCTAAAATTGTGGGGCAGTATTCAGTTAAAAGATATGTCATTATAATGATACAGAATATTCATGTATTGAATATCATTAGGAGAAAAATATAAAATTAAAAAATTCTCTTAGGAAACTTAAGAAGAGATCTCAAGAACATAGCTATTGTTCCTAGTTTTAGAAACATTGCTGTGAAAGGTTTTAAAGATTGCTTTTTGTTTTCTTTAAAGATCGATATCTGGAAATGGAGAAATTGATTTGAAGTAGAGTTGGGGTTATGGATACTGTTAGGAAGGAATTTCAGAATCAGCTTTTTCCTTACACCTCAAACAAGAGTCATACAAGAATCATACAAGAGTATATGATTTTCTTTATGTGATTTCTGATGTATCCTTCTGCTTGATTCCTTATCACATAATGTTTATTTTGGCTTGTTAGACATAGGCAGACATATTTGATTATTTTTTCATTTGTGTTGTTGTAAATTGTTAACTATTCCCTTTGTGAGGTTGTAACCCAGCAGGATGTACTGCAGGTGTATATTTAACAGGTACTTAATGAATTGAACTGAACCAGCTAACTAAGAAAAGCTAAGTATTTATTAAAGGAGAATTAAATCATAGATCATTTCCTTGTGAATTTGTTAAAATGAAACTTGTTCTTATGCTTTATTGGCTATAATTCTAGGTTTACCTAGGACCACAAAGATATCTATGTTGCTAGTTTTTACCTTTGTATTTAAGCCAAATTGAATCATTGTATTTTAGTTCATCTCTTTTTTTCTTGGTTCATGAATCTGTGTTTTTAAAGTAAGTTTTTCTAGAAATACTTTATTCATGAATTTTTTTCTGTAAAAAATAATACTGTAGCAAATTTCTGCTGTTACGTGAAGATCAGAAGAGACTTGGATTGCAATTGTAAACACATTTAAAGCCCTGCCAGTTTAATTGTTTTCTGTATTTACTATTTGTCACTGAAAGTTGAAAGTAATGATTCTTTATTTTTTTCTTTTTAAATAGATATGATGATGCTATACAACTATATGATCGAATTTTACAAGAAGATCCAACTAACACTGTAAGTTAGCTGATTGCCCTGAAGATTGTCTAAATTTTATTTTAAAAGGTGAAATTAATTGATTTTTGAAATAATGGAAAAGTAAATATGAAATCAGGTTTTATCTTCTTATTTTAGATACTTTATGTTGGGCCACATTTTAAAAATAGATTTAAAACTCTTCAGTGAAATTTGACTCATAGTGTATCTTTTTGGACAGAAACTGTGGAAATTTAGAAAGAAAGAATTTTACATGCTTGCAAAAAGGTCAGCAGAGCTCAGTGGTTTTATAATATTTTGAAGTTTATGATAAATAACTTGTTTGGGTAGTTATATTTTAGTTTTAATGAAAAATGAAAGAGGTTATCAGTAATTGGTATGTGGAATTAATAAAGGTGTTTTGATTTGGTTTTACTTTTTCTGTCTTATACTTGAACAGTAACACATATATGTACATTTATATAATATACTTGTGTATGTATACATATACTTGTATATGTATATATGTGTGTGTATATATATATAAAGAAATATATATATTTTGTTTCCTGTAAGATAACATCTTTAATTTATCCTGATTTGAACAAATATATCAGTATATCAGGCAGAGTATTTGTTCTAAATATACTTATATAGTATTATTTGTCTTAAAAATATGCTGAAGATTTTTTTGATTTTTGAGAATAGTTTGAGAATTTTATTTTAATATTTTTGCATAATGGCTTTCCTCTACCTTTTACTCAATGAAAAGTTATAGAGATTTTAGATAACATATCAGGCATTTTAATATTTTTTATACCCATGCACACATACGCCTGTTAAAAGCAAATCATATTTTAAAAATTTTTAAACAAAAACCAGTTTGTTTTGCCCTTTTATAGGAGATACTGCTATATTAACACAAATACATGAACGTTTTCTCTTATTTGGCAAGTGTTTCATTGAAAATATACATTTTTGTTAAGCCACTTAATGTGTAATTGTGGATTATAAGATGCAGAAATAATAATTGAACATTAGTTAATTTAAGTAAATTATTTATGCTTTCTTGGGCAATTATTTAACATTGAAGTGTGTAATATTTAGTTAGCTTTTATCTAAGGCTTTCATTGGTCATAAATCTGATCTCTGCTTGTCTCTTCTGATACTTTGTGGTAATACTTAGATCTATTGCTTAAATGATAGTCTTTTTTCAGCTTTACTGAGATAGAATTGACAAGTAACATTGTGTAAGTTACACAATGTGTGCATGTATATGTGTGTGTGTGTGTGTGTGTGTGTGTGTGTGTGTGTGTGTATGTAGTGAAATGGTTTAGATTTTTGCTTTTAATATTATCCCATCCCAGGGACATTTCTTCTGGAAAATTCCTAGGTTTTTTTGGGGTGAAGAGGTAGAGATAGGTACTTGAATGGCAAGGATTTATTATTTTGTGAGGATTCTCAGCATATACAATTTCAGGGAGAAGTTTTGAGAGAGCTGCAATTCTACCCTTGGTAAAAAACAAAAAAAAAATCAAAAATAGAAAGAGCTTTTGTTAGTATATCTACATATTTCCAATAAAAGTTCATAAAAGTTATGAATAACTTTCCAATTTTAACTATTCTACTCACTTGCCACCTGTTTTAATAAAATAGCACCATTTTTCTTTTCCTGAAGCGTTTTCATTTACTTAGTTATAAGACTTCACTACAATTTCAAAGGTATTCATTTTTCACGCAGCCAAATATTAAAAATATGAAATCAAGTTTCCAAAAAAAGTTTGCTCCATTTTTTTTTAATACCAGGTTAAAAATCAACAGCTTTTGATTTATTTTCTTGGTATTAGGGGTCAAACATTTTACTTCTGTGTCAGTTTAAGTTGGGGATATTTTTAATAAATTATTTCACTTTTTCAGAATCTAAGATATTATGTAATGATTTTTCTGTGTTTGTAGTAATTTCTATGTTCTCTGGCTCTAAGATTGACTAAAAGAGAAATCCAAATGGTTTCAGTCACAGACTATATATGAGGTGTTGGTAACTATGTCCCTTATTTGCTAGGTAAGTATTTTAGAACAAGGTGACTAAATACATTTTGCTAAATGTATTATTCTTTCATTAAATATTATCTTTAACATCCCCTTAGTCCCTTCTGTAAATGTTTATTGAGTATCTGTCATGAGTCACCAGAATGTTGGGTGTTACAAAGCATAAAGACAGTTTCTGTTAATGTATCCATAGAAAGCACTGTGGTAGACTTTGAGAGAGATAACAAAACCATGTAAACCTAGAAGTAATTAAGTCTAGTAGGGGAAGACTTCACTTATATTAAACAGTTAAGTGGCAGTGTAGAATACATTACAGTTTCTTTTTTCAAACCAACTATAATGTATTACCTCAAAGGTGGGAAAGTCTAGTTTCATCTTCATCCATAGTTATAATTCAGGCTTTTATACTGTGACTCTTCATGTTGTATGAAAGTGATCATATGACTATTAATGGTCTTGTGCCTCTGTGTTTCTAGATATCCAGTATAGAAATGAGGTTGTTCATTCAAGCTTTAAGGAGCTTGGAGCTTCCCTTTTATATGTGTTCATTAATCTTTCAAAAAAAAAATATTTAGTGCTTATGGTGTGCTTGGTGCTGGGAATAGAAGAACAAATTAGACACCCACCTGACTGTGCTTAGGGATGCAGAGTGATCTAGTGAACAGATTATGGACTTTGAAAATAGACTGTTAAATTTTTATTCCTTAGTCACTTGCTGTGTGATTTTTGAGCCTTGCATGGCTTGAAGGATGAGTGTGGTTGAAGTGAAGTAGGGTCGGCCAGGGAAAGTTCTTGTATCTCCTGAATGAATCCTTAGCACTATTTAAGTGCAAAGTCTATCTAAGGAAGAAAGAATAAAGTGATTAGAAAGGAAGTTTTCAAATTTCCTTTAGGGAGGTTGCTGAAATGGACTCCTCCCGCCCCTATCCCATCTATTTTTAAAAGGTTGTGAAATATTTTTTTGGAAAAGTAATACCTATGTTAAAAATTACAAACAATACAAAGAATATATGGTAAAAAATAAGTCCTCTCACCCCGGATCTCCTGTTCGCCTTCACTTAGGCAAACATTGTTAACAATTTCTAAATGTATTCTTCCAGAGGTTTTTTTCCCTCATGTACACATAAATATGCACGTGTGTATGAGTGTATCCCTTTTGACAGAGTTGTTGGAAAAGCAAATGGTGGCATATTCTCTCTTGCATGCATTGTAAAGATTATGCTGTATGTCAGCACATCCTTATATCATCCTCTCAATAGCTGCATAACATTGCATTGTATGGTGTATAAAAAACAGTTTCTTGAAAAACAGTCTCTTGAAGTAAGACCCCTTGATGAACTCTTAGATTGATTCTGATATCTTCCTCCCTGGAACAGTGCTTGCAGTAAATGTCATTTGTACGATGAATTTCTACTCGGGAATCTGTCTGGAGGTCCATGCATTTTAAATTTTGATAGATGTTACCAAATTTCCTTGCACAAAGGCTTTTTAGCCATCCATATTCACTTCTGAGATATAAGAGAGTGCTGCTTCTCCTGTATCCTCCCACATGGTATACTATCAGTTTTTTTGTTTTTAACCTCTGGCAGTCTAATTGGAAAAAAAAAAAGTTATCTTGTTATAATTTGCATTATGAGAGATGTTGAATATTTTTAAATATGCTTTAAAAGCCATTTGTATTTCTCTTTCCAAACTGCCTCCCTCCTTTAATATGTTTTCCAAATGAAATTTTATTTCTGTTCTTGTTGAAGAGCGGGCATGGTTCTGGTGCTCTAACTAGTTAACCTCATCCTTCTTCCCCACTCTTTGACTTCTGAGAAAAACTGGGGTTTTGAGGAGCAATATTTTATACCTCTGAATTGGTTCATTGTACACAGTGACTGGAGATGCATCAAGAAGGCCTGTGTTGGGTATCCCTGGGTGGCTCAGCAGTTTAGCGCCTGCCTTTGGCCCAGGGCGCGATCCTGGAGTCCCGGAATCGGGTCCCGCGTTGGGCTCCCGGCATGGAGCCTACTTCTCCCTCTGTCTGTGTTTCTTCCTCTCTCTCTATATATATATATCTATCATGAATAAATAATATCTTAAAAAAAAAAAGAAGGCCTTTGTTTTTTAACAACCTGGTATGTGACACTTAAGAATTTTTATTCTTAAAAAATGGAGAATGAATTGGGTGCCTGCGTGGTTCAGTCAGTTGGGCATCTTTCTCTTGATTTTGACTCAGGTCATGATTGATCTCAGGGTTGCAAGGTCGAGCCCCGCATGAGGCTCTGAGCATGGAGCCTGCTTAAGAGTCTCTCTCCCACCATGCCCCTCTTTCACACACTTACTCTCTCTAAAAATAAAAAAGAAAATGGACAATGATTAGGGAAATCCATCAGATAATTTTAGAAATAACTTTGTTAATAATACACGAGATAGTTTGAAGAAAGTGCAGAGATTAAATAATTTGTAATTGGGCAGCTGTTCTGTTTTAGGCCAGAGATCACGGGGATCTAAACCTAGGACAAGTAGAATTGGAAAGGTTAGGGAATGGATGAAAGACTATTTTACAATAAAAGTACGCAAACAATTAGAATCACTTAGCTGTGAATGGTTTTTAGAAAGGTAATTCTCAAATGTGAAATTTTAGTTGTTAACCAGTGAGAGTCAAATATTGGATTAGTCTCACTGTGAGCTTTTATCTCTTAGCTTGCCTAAGCACCAGTTTTTTCTTTGCTTGCTTTTAAAATAAAAGTAGGCTTTTCTTCCTTTGAAAGCTCCTTAAGGGAAAAAATTATGTCTGTTGCATAAACTAATGCCTAGCATATGGTAGGCCTTGAGCGAATACTTGTTGAATGAATACTTTTCAGAAAAGGGGTGTAATAGTTATTGTGTTTTAGTTGTATTTCATATTTCAGAAAGAACAGATTTTACCTTGAATTGTGAACTCCCTCTTATGATTTATGAAATATTTAAAGTTTTGTTTTGGAATTAGACGGAATTGCCTCTGTGCCAAGGGTGAAGATGCTTTTAGAATGTCACATTTCCCAGGGTGTTGGGCGTAAGACTTGGTGAACCCAGAACACTGCTTTCCTTCTGTTGGCCAGTGTCCCAGCATCCGCAGTGTGGGGAGATCTAGATTGTATTTTGCTGGTAGACCTTAATCTTTTAATCCTTTCCTAGGTGTTCTCCCCCACGTTCCCCCCCAAAGCTTATATTTTAAGACATTTAAGACAAGTTTCAGGAAGAACTGCTGGTTAGCCCCTTTGTACATAATGTTACAGAAGGCATGTAGTAAGTTTGATGAAGATTTGTTCATAGTCCTCAGTATTTTATATTTTATAATAGGCATTCTAACTCTATTATTAAATCACTTATAAAATGTGGAACAGGGATCCCTGGGTGGCGCAGCGGTTTGGCGCCTGCCTTTGGCCCAGGGCGCGATCCTGGAGACCCGGGATCGAATCCCACGTCAGGCTCCCGGTGCATGGAGCCTGCTTCTCCCTCTGCCTGTGTCTCTGCCTCTCTCTCTCTCTCTGTGACTATCGTAAATAAATAAATAAAAAACCTTTAAAAAAAAATAAAATAAAATAAAAATGTTTAAAAAAAAAAATGTGGAACAGTTTTTGTTTTTAAGACTTAAACTGGCATTTGCAAAGATCGATCCAAACAAGACATTTAGAGAAATTCAGAACATAGGCATATTTTTCAGGAAAAAAAACTATAAGAAAGAAATAAATGGAAATTGATAAATATTCAAGATCCTACTTAACAGTCCAATTAATTCTATTTTAAAACTGTTTTGACATATAATTGATATAGAATACGCTGCATATATCTAAGTAAGATGTACAGTTTGATAAGTTTTGACATTTGTATACCTGTGAAACCATCACCATAATCAAGATAGTGAACAAAACTATTATTTTCAGAAGTTTTCTTTGCTCCTTTCCATTTTTATATTTCCAAAATATATTCTTGAGCTTTCTTGTGGGATATAATTAAGTTACTTGAAAACGATTTGATCCTTTTGGGTCTTAGACCTTAGAGAGGTCCAGAAAATGCTTATAGGGCTAGTTACTTATTCCCCATTACAATCCTTCTGGGTACCCAAAGCTGAGTGACTCAAGGGAAACCCTTGAGATTCAAGAGGAATCTAGAGTTTTTATTCTGTATTCTTTCTTTCCCAGTGCTGTGTCTACAAATTCTAGCCTTTGATCTTCCTGGGCTCGCAGCTCCTGAACTCAGAGAGTCCACTGAACTCAGCCTGATATTTCTCTTCTTTTAGATTTTTATTTATTTTTTTTTAGATTTATTTATTTATTTATTCAGAGAGAGAGAGGCAAAGACACAGGCAGAGGGAGAAGCAGGCTCCATGCAGGGAGCCCGATGTGGGACCTGATCCCGGGACTCCAGGATCACACCCTGGGCTGCAGGCGGTGCTAAACTGCTGCGCCACTGGGGCTGCCCTGATTTTTCTCTTTTTGCATAGGATCCCTGAAATTCTCAAAGCAATAAGCCAGGGCAATAAAAATAGGGCTCACCTCATTTATTTTCAGCCTCTCGGGGATCACTGTTTTTTGTTGCCTGTTGTCCTGTGCCTTAAAATTGTTGCGTGTATTTAGTCTAATTCTTTAGTTGGTTCAGGCAAAAGGATAAATCTGTTCCCATCTTGGCCAGAAATGAAATCCCTATAAAATTATCATGATAAATAAAGATCGGTTCTTAGGCCAGCATGTGGTAGTATTTTTCTTTAGAAGAAATAAGGTGGAAACGGCTGTTGCTTGGTATGTAACTTAATAATATATTATTGCCTGTATGATAATTATTGCCATGTAGGTATTTCTTTAAGGTATCATACATAGTTTCATTAGGAAGATTGGCTTTGTGTAGCTAAGAGTTGCCACTTAAAAGTTTGTTTTAGACTTTAGACTATTAGGAAATAAAGTGCTGTATCTTAAGTTTTACATGATCAGTCAACATACTGTTTATATAATAGAGATTTTAGGGTATGATTCCTAAGTTGTTTAATATACGTTGGCAAATTGAATTTAAAAAAAGGGTATATTTAAAACCTTCAGTGAAACGTTAGGTGGAAAGCTCTTCATTTTTAAAATAGGCTGTTACAAAGTTAATACTGAATTTAAGTTAATAGTGAATTTCTCACTTGACGGGATGAGCACTGGGTGTTATTCTATATGTTGGCAAATTGAACACCAACAAAAAATAAATTTATATTAAAAAATACTGAATTTCTCTTTGTTTTACATTATTTTAAAATTGTAACATTCCTCCCACTACAAATATGGATAATACAAAATAATAATAATAACTTGTTTTACTTGTAATATTTTGGATTCTTTCAGGAAGTTTCCTAGAAAGATCTAGCATGGGAATCAGAAATTTCAGATTTTATTTTTAATCTTACCTCTCTGATGGCATTTAAGTTGTTTAAACCTCTGATTTCCATCATTTACAAAAGGATTGTTTTTTAAAAGGGATTTTAAAGATTAGTTATCTTTGAAACACTACAGCAGTGCTTTACAAACTATATTCTACAGCATATTGCTGACCTAAAATATCAGTGTATGTTTAGCAGTAGAGAGATGGTTCTGTTGTTAAATTACTGAGAAAATGAATTAACAGCTAGACAGGTGTTTTTAGTATACCCATCTTCATTTGAAACTTTTGTGCATAATGGTATCCAATACAGTGTTCATACCATAGCTCTTACCATGACTGTAGAGGTGGTAATTGTTTTTAATGTTTATACTTTAACTTTTTGCCTGATATGTCATATTTCAGTGCAGTATTTTCAACAAGTTTCCCTAGATCTATGTAATATCTCAACTGGTGCAAATCCTATAGAGATTGGGACAAGATACTAATATCAAACTAAGTAAGCCTGTGCTGGGCCTTTAAAGATTTCATAGGTAAAGCTTTTGGCAAGGCTTAACACCTATTTTAAGCATAGACTAACTGTATAAAAAGAAGGAAGATAACATTTATTCAATAATATTATATACTATGTACTGTATTAGTTGCTTTACATTGATATTTGGAGATTTGTGTATTATGGAGGTTTGGGAAGGTTACATATTTTGCCTTTGGTTAATAAGCTGGTAAATGCCAAGAGTTGAGATTTATTTCTTGTCTTTTTTGTTTTAAAACATGGACTCTGTTCTACCATATTATCTGTAGAAGTAGTATCATGATAAGTGAAAGGAATAAACAGTTAAATATGTTTCAAATGTGTTGGATTGGTAAAATTAGATACGACATATCCAAAAGAAATTCATTTTTAAATTATATGTTAATTTATCTATCATCTATTTTCAGAAGAACTTGGGAGAAGGCTCTTATTTGGAGTTTAATATTCTTCCTAAAGTCTTTAGGATTGAGTTACTTTTAGAGCTTTTCTTTTACTTTCTTTCTGAATTCTTGAGGCTTTTTAAGTGGTACGTTTATTATGGCACTTTCATTGTTGTACAAAATGAAATTATTCCAAAAATACTTGAGTACCTACCATTTGGCAGGTGTTGTGTTAGACCTTTGGCGTGAGCTGAATAATCAAGGATATATATTTTTTAAGCATTTCATTTTTTTATTGCCAAAATGCTGTTATCATTGTTATTATAAATATCACTGATAGTCTTATTTGTAGGGAGTCTCTTGATTCTGATTTTTTTGACTTTCACTTTTTTAGAGCAAAACCCAACCCTTTTTCACCCATGTTAGATAGCTCCATTTGTTTAAAGAGCACCATTCATTTTATTTCCCTTGTCTGCATCTTGTGGAATCTATATTATATAAAACAATAATGATCATGTCCATAATTAATAAATTTAACTTGGCCATAGCTTTTGTTTGTTTTATTGTCTTGCTATCTGCATTGAATTAAATAAACAGAGATGGAGGAGATACAAATTTAATAATTTATATAATGCCCTCCAATCTCTGTTAACTACAGCCTTAAATGGATAGCCTTGAGTACACACAGTGTTACTGTCTGACTACACACAAAGTTGCTGTCTTCCTTGCCTTTGCTTCTGTGTTCCTTCATCTATGCTCTGTCCTCCACACAATTCCCTCTTTTGCTTTTTTAATGTCTTCTTGTGCTATTTCAGTATAGTTATCACATCTGGGATCCTCTGCTTTCTGCCCTTATACTTCCTCTATTCTGCCAGTCTGTGTTTGGCTGTCCTCCATGTTGCCACGACACCCTAGATATCTCTATCATTGTCTTTTTATTGGATTTGTCTTTTTCTCATGAGCTGCTGTAAGGAATTATCTATTCTTTTTTTTTTGACCTCATATTTTCATTGTTTTGCAGAGTATCTGTTAAACAATAAAGTTCAGTATATATTTGATGAATGCATAAATTAGTGACACTGATACTTATATTAGTCATTTAAAAAACTTTAAAATGCAAGGTGAAGTTTTGTCTACTTATAAAATATTTTTTTCAGGTCCTGTATTATTCTTGAAAGACTTACAGATAGATTTTCTCTTAAAACTGAAAAAAGTTAAAAAAAACTGAAAAAAGTTATCAGGAGCTATATTTTATAATGACATTCAAGTGGCCATGGTGAGATTTTTTTTTTTCCTAATCTTTACTATTCCTCTATCTTTTAACGTACAAATCTTATGAATGAGACAGAGTAAAGGACTTTAGGCTGGGTAAAGATTAGAATTCCCTGCTGGCTTGTAATTATCAGAATCTGGATGGTTATTTATTTGAATGAAATGATGCATACATTGTGTACATCAAAAGTAAAGCATATGTGATTGTTAGAGGAATGTTTGAATTCCCCAGTGGGATGTCATAGGGTATGTTTATAAACTCCCACTAAGCAGTAGTTTGACAATGGAATTTCGCTGGCATTGAGATAATAATTTGCACAGTCAAATTACCTTCTTTACAAAAACCCAGGGAATCATGAGGGCCTAATCCTTTATTAATGTCAACCCATAGGCTGCAAGAAAGCGTAAGATTGCCATTCGAAAAGCCCAGGGGAAAAATGTGGAGGCCATTCGGGAACTGAATGAGTATCTGGAACAGTGAGTGTCTTACAAGAGGATTGAGTTTTGTTATTCTGATAAATCTTTTTTAATTAAAATGGAATTTGCATTTGATTTTCCTTTTTTGCCTCCATGCTGTTCATTTACAGAATATCTACACCTCCCCCCCCCCCTTTTCCTCTCACCAGATTTGTTGGGGACCAAGAAGCCTGGCATGAACTTGCAGAACTTTATATCAATGAACACGAGTAAGTTGTAAATTTTGTTAGGAGTGCAGTTTTTTATCACTTTGTTGATTATAATATGTGAATTGCTTTAATTAGCTCATTTGTGTTTTGCTAATTATTTTTGTTTGAGGAATATGTTTTTCTTTCAAATACAGATGGATTCTTTGGAATTAGAATGGCCTGCATTTTCTGAATTATGGCTGTTTTTAATGATTCAAAATTGTGAATTTTTAGAGTCTAAATTGTTCTAATATACAATGAGTATTATACTCCCTGCTGTTTAAAAATTCTGTCAATTGTATGCATTTATTAGTCTTAGAATTAAGAGAATCAACTTTTCCAAAGTAGAAGCATTCTGTTGCCTGGGTAAAAGACCAAGAATAATCAAGAATGTTGAATGCTGTAGGAACTTGCTTATTGGATATTTAATGTTTTTGTTAGCTTTTTTATTGATGCAGTGACAGGAGGAAATCCCAGTGTGAGAGGATTAGCCTAGTCTTAGTCAGTTTTCTAATATTGCAGCATTAATGCTAACCTCCATCTATAGGCAGGATTTTTTTTTTCTTTTTTCCCTTAGTTCTTCTCAATCCGAAGTATATACATTGTTTTGTTTCTTCTTTCTGAGGGAATAGAATCAGATTCTCATGTGCATATTCTTAGTGTGTATGAATAACTTCATTCTCATACTACAAGTAGCTGACACAGGAAATAAAATAGAATGAAGACATTTATGTCTTAGCTTTGCCCAGGGCTATATGTGTAATGTGAAATGGAGAATTAAGGTAGTTATCTGTTATTTGTAGTAAAACCAGAAGCTAAAATAAAAGTAATAGCTATCATTTAATGAATGTGTACTGTATTCTGGGAACCATTCTTCAGTTCTCTTCTGTGCTCTGGCTGTCAGAATCTTTTTTTGCTTTTTGTTTTTTTTCTATTAGTAAATTATTTTCTGAATCATGTTCATATAGATGTATATATGTTTATATGATCACATATGTAAACATACTCAGGATTATTTTATGTATGTGAGAGTGGTAGTGCATTTGGCTTAAATGGTAATGTCTCCATCTTTCAAAGCTTTGTTCTAACATTTATTTTTATTTTTATTCTGGTATAGTTAATATACAGTGATATATTAATTTTGTATTCTATTTCTCATAGCCTTAAAGTCAGCATTTGTAAAGTATACGGTATATAATTTGAATAACATGAAACTGAATTTTTGGAGAGAAACAAAACAATCAACATTAGTTTTATTTTGTCCCTAAAACAGATGACAGTTATTTAAAATGTTTTTGTGACTTTTGAAGATACCATGATTAAAAGCATTTAAAAGCATTTCAGATTAATCAAGGAATTTAAGTTAAAGAAATACCTAATGAAGAAAATTTGGAAAACACAGTAAAAAGTAAAGACAAAGACCAGAATTATGTGTAATTGCATCACCTTATCTATAATTTATATTTTATTTTCTTTAGTACTTCTTGAAACAGAAACCTAAAATAGAATTATTTTTATAGTTTATGCTTTTCAGTTAATCATGTTTTAACAGACATTTCCTATCACAATAAATATTTCCAGTGTGATTTTAATGACTATATTACTCCATCTTATTGATGTACTCTAATATTTTTAATCAGTTTCCTAGAGGAGTAGAAATCTTTTTTTTCTCTCCCTTTTTTCATTTTTACTATAATTCTGTATTAGTTTGTTTCCTTGGACTAAATTCTTAGAAATAGAATTACTTGATTATAAGATACACACATTTTTAGTGGTGTTAATAAATCATTCCTGTTGTTCACTAGAAAGTTTACTGTCACATCAGCAATTATTAGCATCCCCCTAACACTGAGTGCCATTATTTTTTCAATCTTTGTAAATTTTTATAGGTGAAAAATTGGTTACAACTTTGTAAAAGATTTTTAATAGCTCTATGTATAAAGGACAAAAAATAAAGAATTTGTCCTGTCAAAAATATATCCTTGTTATGTATCTTTTTAATATTGATTTTTAACTTACAGGAACTTTGTATTTTTATATAGTGAGATATATCAGTTTTTATTTGCTTTCATGTCCTCTAAGAACTACATAAATATATCACCTCTGTTTTCTTTTTTCTTTCTCAGTTTAACTTTTTTGCATGTGTTTCTAATATTTCTGTATTTAGTTCTAAAATAGGCTATAGTTTATTTTTAACCTATTATTTATTTGCTTCACCTTGAAATGGCCACGTTCAGTATTGCTTTATTTTGAGTCTCTAAAGAGTCATTGAGATAGAGTTGAATGTATACTTAAGAGAAATGAACTGAAAAATCCCAAGACATCAAGAAATATAAAGACAGAAAAGCACCTGAAAAGTAACTAACTCTTAGGGGAAATGATAATTGTGTTCGACCTAGTCTTTTATCTTGTATCACAAAACTCTTTTTGGTCTTGAAGCTAGGTGTTTACAAAATGACTATTTATTTTTTCTAATTGAACACAGAGGCAATTTTCAGGTTTAGGGTGAGTGGAAAATAAATATCTCTAGAGTTTTTAAACTATATGAAAATCAGAATCTGTTCATTTGATTCATTTAACCTGTTTGGGCAAGTCATTGTAGTAAGTAAGGGATTTTTTTGTTTGTTTGTTTTATTGTTTGTTTTTGGTAGAAAAGATGAGTTACTGTGTTACCAGTTTAGTACTGTTTTGTGGACACAGTGGCAAAATGTAGCAATTCAGGAGTTGCTGGATATATTTATCATTTTGCCATTCTTTTTTGCATGGGAATAAGCTACTTTAAGCAGCATTGCTACTCTAGATCTAGAATTTTTACTCCAAATAAATTTCCAAAGTAGAATGTTCATATAAGCCTATCCATTGTTGTTACAGAAATCAGAGGATATGGAATTCTGCTATGCCGTTTTTAAAAATATCTTTAAATTTTCTTTATATTTGCTTCTCATTTATAAATTCTAGCTTCTATTCAGCGATTGCAGTGGTATATGTCATACCAATGGATCATATTGAGACATTTTACTTGTTTTAAATATAAAAAGTTAGTTAAAATGTGTACGTTAGTACTACCAGAATGTGTTATAAACAAAAATATGTGTTTTGAACACACTTAATTCTTTTTTTTACTTGACTTGTAGTTAAAACTAGATGTTGTATCAGCAAGAAGTGATTAATAATATAAAGTAATTATGGTTGTGGCTGTGGTTCCTTTTTGTAGGTCCAACCTTACTATTAAAATTCTATAACAAATGGAATTATCAAAATCCTATAAGGAAAAATCATAATGTTGATAAAGCAATATGGGGATAAATGTGTGACCTATACAAATGCTTTTAAAAGTGAAGAATGAAAGAACTTTGAAAACTTTAATTATTGACTCTGACATACTAATACTAGTGGTTACTTTAAATAGATTAAAATAATTTAAATTCTATAATCAATGAGTCATTGTAATGAATTAACGTTTTTATGGATTTGGAATGGAATTGGCTGTGTACTGTTCTTGGGAGAATTGAGAAAATGGTCACTCATATACTTTCCAATGTGATTTAAATACTCTTGAGTGAACTTCTGTTGAGAAAACTGTCTTGGACCATCTTCTGCTTCTTTTAGCTCTAAGTTTATTTTATTCTATACTTTATCCACAAAATTAGTTTGATTTTATACTTTGTGAAATTAGGAGAAGGGATCCTCCTCTGTATAAATATATCTAGCAACTCCTAAATAAATTTTGAGAAAAATATCTTGGCATTCATTTTTCAGTAGACACTCCTATTTTATCTTAGTTAATAATGTATAAAAACGGGAGTCATAGTTGTGCTCAATCCATTTAAGTCTGTAAGAATATTTATTCTTAGCATTAATATGAATTTTTTGTATCATCTTAGTAAAAGGAACATATTTAGAAGGGAACATATTTAGAAGGGAAGTATTTAAAGTATACTCTTTAAATAAAGTATATTTAGAGACCACTTTCTTCTTCTCTTATACAATGATAAATATATACCAGATAGGTAATCACAATACTTTTGTTCTAGACATTTATGTAATCATTCAGCCATTTATTATATACCTATCACATGTCAGGAACCAGTGCTAGGTTTTGGGTATAAAAATGAAAAAGACTAAATAGCTGTATGATCCTTGATAACAGTATGTATATATAAATCTAAAGTGCTATGATTTTGGTAATCTACAGGGTGTTTTTGGTTTCTCAGGCCCTTTTAGTTTGATTGCTGTACCCATTTTTATGTTACCATTGACCTCTTCATCACTACCATCATTACCATGGTTTTTTATTGTGTATAGTGCATAGAGGCAATATGCAGAGTGGTTATAAGTAGGCTGTCCAGAGTGGCATTGCCTAGGTTTCAGTTAGTATCTCTGTGCCTTCTCAACTATAAAATTTTGATAATTTCCTGCTTCCTTGAGTTTTGGTAGGATTAAATGAATTAATACATATAATATGCCTAGAGAAGTGTGTGGTACATAATGAGCATATAAGTTAGCTGTTATTAGTACATATATGTGAAATTGCAGTATGTATACTTTGAAAAGTATATTAGACTTAGTGTGAAGATCGGTAGCTTTGTATGTTGGTGACAAATGCCAAAAATAATTGTAGGCAGCCATTTTCTGTTAGCTACTGTCATCACCTTTCATGGGGAATAAACTTTAAAACACCTGTGTTCTTTAGGATTTCCTATAAATAGTGACGATATTCACATTGCTTTAAACATAAAATACATTAATGCGAATTACAGTCACATGGTGTAAAACCATTTTTCCAGAGCCCTTTGTAGCAGTCCTCTCCTCAGGTTTTGAGGAAGATGTTTTTGTTTCTTTACCACATAATGAAATAGTAGTAGAGTACGTATCAGAACCACTAACTTGATCTACCTTTCATGGTTTTAAAATTTCTAACTTCATTATAATTTTGTATTTGACAAACAAGTTATGAAAAGTCTTTGTAATACAATGTGTTGGTAGATAATGTCACTAAAGGATTTTTGTGGATAGTATTTAATAAAGTGTTTATTTCCTTTTTACACTTCAGCCATTCAGGTATTTTATAAGTGATCAATGGGCTTGAAGTTATTTTATATGTAACCTGATCCAAGATTGTGAAGTCTGTGTTGTGAATAATGTTTGGATTTCATAATAGTAACCCAGTTTTAAGAATGTAATATCTACTGATGGTTCATAGGCTGCTTTAGAATCTATGTCTTTGTTATTTGTATTTAAGAATTCAGCATAACAGGCTTTTTATTAATAAAGCTTTAAATTTGGGGAACAAAATACCTACTATCACAAATTGTTTTAAGATTATTTTCAGTCACTGTTTTAAATTAGTTTTAAGTTATTTTAGCTAAGGTGGTATTTGTAACTTCTAAAATTGATTTTTCATCTTCATATTTTTCAGCTATGCTAAAGCAGCCTTTTGTTTAGAGGAGCTAATGATGACTAATCCACACAACCACTTATACTGTCAGCAGTATGCTGAAGTAAGTGCTCTCAAAAACAACATGTATATGATTTTATTTTTGTTGATGTTAGGTATTATTTTGGAACTAAGAACATGTCCTAAATGTGAGGCAAGTATATAAATATTTAAAACATCTGATGAAAACTGTAGGTTGTAAAAGATTTAAGTTTTTATTACTATAATGGGAATATGACTTTAAAAATAAAAGCACTTAAAACAGTGAAATTCTTTGTATTTTTTATTGTATACTCTTTAATTTTGAACTAATGATGCCTTAATTGTCACCATTTAATGGCTTCTGAAACATTTACAACAATTATGATTTTTAAATCCATATTCTAAGAAACATGTTAAGATCAATATTTTTGGAAGTAGGAAGTATTTTTTTAACTATAAAGAATAGTAATACAGTTGAATGCTATAAGGTTAGGATTTCATTAATAAGGAATGTCAGGGTGACTAGAAAAGGGCAGCTCAGTATTTAAGTATAGATTTAGAATGCTGCTAATAGAAAATATAAAGTTGTGAGGCATTTAGGCAGCTGAAAAATAAATTATATTGGCTTTTTTACGGACAGCATTTTTTTTTTAGTTAAAAAATTTTTTTTAGCATTTTGTTTTAAAAACTACTCTTATGATCTTAGTGTTCGTAGAATAGATTTTTCAGGGAGATTATGCTTTAAAATTTAGATTAGCTTTAACAACTTTAAGATGAATTCTTTTAACATCTTGCATTTGTTTACAGAATATCTGTTTCAATTACTAATGCCTATGGTATGATGAAACATGCTATATTTCAAAGTAGTAAAATAAACAGATTTCAGCACTCTGCAATTTCTAACAGGTTAAATATACCCAAGGTGGACTTGAAAACCTTGAACTTTCAAGAAAGTATTTTGCACAGGCACTGAAACTGAACAACAGAAATATGAGAGCTTTGTTTGGGCTTTACATGGTGAGTAAAGATGCATGTTTAATGTTATTTTATGAAATCTGTCATTTAAAGTCCATTAACTATCCCACCCAATCACTTCCCTCTTTTTTTTTTTTTTGTATCTTGTTGATAAGATTATTTTTTTCCCTCTAGTTAAATAATGAAGTTTTATTTTTAAATGTTAATACATCCTATTTGATATTTATTATAAAATGTGTCCTATTGTATCAGAATTTGTCTACTCTATTAAATAGTAGCAGATATAAAACCATATTCTGTATTTTAATTGTTTTGATATTCTTGGGTTTATGCCCAATATTTTATTTCTTACCTTAAATTATAATTGTATGGCAGTTTTAAACTACACAATAAAAGACATTAGTAATAAAATTTCTACTGTCAAAACTTTTCTTATGGTACAAAAAAGAGCTTGGGAATTGTGGGAAGCATGTAATTAAATATTTCTGTGGTTTATGTATGCCAAGTGACGAGCTTAGAAAAGTCAATTAACAAGAGCTATGGGAAATAGAGGAAGAATTTGCTGAGCTTTAAAATATACATAAAATGAGCCCCTCTCTCTACAATTAGAAAACTTTTTTTAATAGGCCAGTTCTTTGAAATTTTAATTTATCCTGATCTTTTCAAGGACTTTGGATGAATATCTTATTGGGGCTCAGTGAAAAAGAATTGATTGCAGAAGTAGAGGCAGGAAGAAACATAAATGAAATCATTTTTAGGAAAGGAATGGCAAAATATAATTAGAAAATGGTTCAAAGGAATTTCAAGAAATTTTTCCTAGATCTACCAGTGCCAATTATAATAGGTTGGAGATATAGTAGCAGTGCTATCTCTTTATCAAATAAATGAAATACTAATTTTAAAAGAATTAGTATTTAAAACAATTATTAAATTACAAATCTATTAGTATTTTAAAACAAATTATTAATGATAGTTTATATATAACTTTATGTGCTAGGCATTATTTTAAATCATTAAATCCTTATATCAACTGTTTGAAAAGATACTATTATTACTACCATTTCACAGAAAGTGAACCTAAAACACATAGAGGTCTAGTGAATTTGTTGAAAGATATCACAGACTTACTAAGTGATTGAGCTGGGATATCAGCTTAGGCAGTTGATTCCAGAGTCATTTTCTTAATCACTGCATTTGCTTAAATTTGTACCAAGAAGGTGATATTAAAGACATAGAAGTATAAAAATAAGATTTTGGTCAATAAATTCCTCACTGACTAAGGAGGAGAGAAAAAAAGACCCTGTAACACAAGCTAAGTATAAAAAAGAAAGGCTTAATTTTTTTTAATCACTTGGACAAATCCTCTTAAGAATATGATATATTTAAGCGTAAGATATAAAAGATCTTCCTCTCTCAAGTAATACAAATATATGCTTGAAAATTAGTAGATTATTTTGGTGGTTTACAGATTCTTTCATGGATCCTAGAGTAACAATCCCTTGTTTAAGTACATTTTTTAAAAGGAGAGGATGAATCAAATTGCAATGATTCTAATTGGTACTGTGGAAACATCGTTTGGAAACTCTTGGTAAACTGAAAAGAGAACTAGATTGGAAATGAAGATCTCTTTCTATTTTAAGGCTTTCATAACTTGCTTTGGTCAAGTCAAATAACTCCTATTGGACTTAAATTTTTCTTCACTTACTAATGTAAATTGGACCAAATTATTTTTGAAATACCTTCTTATATTAATATTAAATCATTCTATAATTCTGACATAGGAAAGCTGAAGTAATACAGTATTAAGTAACTAGAAATAATAATTTAATAACAAGAAGTAATAATGACCTTCAATATTCTACTATTTAAGTGATATTCTACAGTATTTAAGTATTTAATTTTACCTTTAAGAGTTGTGGTAGATAACTAATAAATTTAGGTATTATTTAAGATGCTCTCTCTTTTTGTCATTTTATTCTGTATTTTAAAATATATTTTTATTTTTAAATAGTAATTTCATTCCACTTTATTTTTATTTTAAAAATTGTTTTGGTACAGTTTTTAAAAACCCTTTGTTTTCCCATTGCAACTAAGATCCTACATGTTTTTTGGTTGTCTTGGCTAGAAAAAAGGAATTTTGTTTTTGATGTTTCTTTTTTGTTTATAGTCGGCAAGTCATATTGCTTCTAATCCAAAAGCAAGTGCAAAAACAAAAAAGGACAACATGAAATATGCTAGTTGGGCAGCTAGTCAAATAAACAGAGCTTATCAGGTCAGTATTGATAATTTTATATTATCATATAGGTGAGTTAATATATTTCTTAATTGTTTTTTCTTTCATCAAACTAAGAAGCCAAATGTCTATCATTGGACTTTTATGCCTTTGAATCTTAATCAAATGTGTTTTAACTGTGTAGAATTAACTTGTAGGATCACTTGTTTTTCTTCTTTTTTCAAAAGAAGTCCATTACTCTTATGATCCCATAAGTAGCCCTGACCATCTGGAAATTTCAGTAGTCAGCATTTGGGGAATAAAAAGTAATTTTAAAAATCCAGAAAAGGTAAGCAAAATCACAGTGTATTTCAGAATCAGATTGGATATGTGAATATATTATTAATTAGAATATCTCAAGTTATTAAAAGGGAAGAAGAAAAGCCTAAAAGTAAGCTCGTCAGACTATATAAAAAATATTTTTGTACTCTGCTTTCATGTCAGATCTTATCTGAAACTTCTCTACTCATTTCTTAGTTTTCTGAAGCTTGTCCCTAAGAGATTCTTCAGGAAGAGCTCATGGGAAAATAGTATCTTCTTAGATCTTGCATGTTTATAAACTCTCTGTAGTCTTTATATTTCTGGGATAGTTCGACTTTTTTTTTACAACCTTTGACTTACATTTACTTACTTTAAACATGTTCCATTGTGTTTTAGGTTAAAATATTGCTGTCAAGAGGTCTAATCCCATCCTGATTTTCTTTCCCTAAGTGACTTAGACTTTTTGTCTGGATGTCCAAAGGAGTTTTTTCTTTAACATTAAAATCTATTAGTTTCACTACAGTGTATTTTGTTGATTGTTATTAGGTCAGTTTTCCCAAATGCATATTAGTACCATTCTGAAATGTAAATTTAATCCTCTGTTAATCTGATAAGAGTTGCTTTTAGTGTTAAATATTTTTTCTGTTTACTTGCCTAAATTTTTTTTCCAGCTCTCTAACAGTTTATTGGATTTCCTCTCTCACCTCGTTCCTCTATCATTCATTTTCTTTCAAATCTTTTTCTGTCAGTTTGGTTTTTTTCCTCTAGTAATTTTTTATGGAGTTAATCTGTATTTTTTTGTTGTTTTCCTTGTTTAAATCAGATAGTTTTTATTGGGAGAAGGTTTTTGTGGAGTAAGGGTGTCGGAAATAGGATAATTTTCCCAACTTGACTTTTTATGGCTTCCTCTTTGATGTACAGAACTGAAATAAGACCTTCTGTATACTGTCTTTCTCAGAATCAGTGTGGTTCAGAAAGATTTTCTGGCTTCGGCCTTCTGTTCTACCCCTAGAGCTCTGTAGATCTTGGAATTCTGAGGTGTTGCCCTCAGCTTTAAATGTTGCATTTTGTTGTTAGTTCTTTTATTTTATTCTGGGATTTGCTGACTGTGGACATCACTACCTTCCTCTTACCCACTCCTCTCCCTTTAGTGAGCCATCTCTCCCTTTGTGTTTTTGCCCTATTCAATTTGGTTTCAGTTTCTGGTGATTATCCTTCAGTGTGAGATTTTTTTTTTCTTCCTGGAAGAGGGTGTTTGCTGGACATTTCAGAGGTTTTGAGGTTGTACACTATTAGGGTTGCTTAACGTCATTACATGCAGCTTTTAACACTTACCTTTGATTTTCAGCCTTTGGGACTGTCCTGGTTTTTCAGACCATTTGCAGATTCATTGATTCATAACTTTGTTCATTTCTTCAACTTTTAGAGTTATACGTAATCCATCCAACCATACGTAATCCTACCATACAGCTGTTGATCTTTTGTAGGTCTTTCCACTATTGGTGATAAAACCAAATTACGGGGTTTTGGAGTATTGCCTGTAATGTAGGTTTTTTTGAAGATGTTTTCTTTGGGCTTGTTTTCTGTTACTTTGTTTTGGTACTGTTTCATTTTGTACTCCACCTGGTTGGAGAAGGTTGAGGAGATTAAAAAAAAAATCAGTGCCCTCATGATCACATTTTTTAAAGTCACTTGTGTATTTTTATTATATATAATAGAGGATATTAATTCTTTTGGCATATTGTAAGTTAGAATATTTATAAATATTAGCCAGGCTGTGCTTCTTTAAATGTAGTTAGTTTGAGATAGCACAGATCATAATGGGTTTCCATAGTTAGTAGGCCTAGAGGGAGAGAGAGAGTGTGTGTGTATGTGTGCATGTGTGTGTGAGAGATTTAAAGATAAGACTTGGATAATATAAAACTAAGGGTATGCAGACTATGTCCTTTTTTTTGAGATATTTTTGAGAAACAACTAGCTGCTCAGAGAGTGCTTTTTTTGACATGGCATGATTATATTTTTAAAATCAGTTTTCATTACAACATATATAGAAAAAAGAACCCAAGTAATAAATATACATTTCAGTGAATTATGCAAGGTAAATGTATCCATGTCAAGAAATGGGAACATTACAGTACCCCAGAGCCCTCATAGTACATCCTCTTAATTTCTACTTCTATTAACCTCAAGAGTATTGATTCATAATCCCTAGGTTTGGCTTGTTTTTGAACTTTATAGTATCATAGTATGTATTCATTTTTGTCTAGCCTATTTCACTAATATAATTATGACATTTATCCCTTTTCATGTCTAGTTCATTTATTTTCATTGTACTATACAGTCTGTTGTATGAACTATACTACAATTTATCTAGTCAGTTGTTGGTAGGCATTTGGGTTATTTCCTGTTGGGGGCTATTTTGAATAATGCTATACTGAATATTCCTGCAGTCTTTTGGTATACATGTGCTTCTGATGAGTGTATGCCTTTGAGTGGAAATACTGGGTCATAATTTATTTTCCAAATTAGTTTTTTATAGTTCCACCAGTCATGTTTGGCAGTACTCATAGTTCCACATCTTTACCAATACTTGGTCCTGTCAGTTTTTGTAATTATAACCATTCTGGTACATGTATAGTGGCATCTTATGGTTTCATTTTTCATCTCCCTGATGACCAGTGAGATTGAGCATTTTTTCATGTTTATTGGCTATTTGAATATCCTCTTATTTGAAGTCTATCTTTTTAATTGGTTTATGACTTTTTATTTTGTTTTTTAGTTTTCTGATTATGAGCTTTTTGTTATACGTGCAGAAAATTTCTTCAACTGCTTACCTGCTATCTCAAATGATTTTGATGAGTAGAAGTTCTGAAGTAAAAAATGTTCATTTATATTCTTTTATGGTTTGTGCTTTTTGTGTTTAAGAAATTGGTTGCTACTCATAGTCATAAAGATAATTTTCTGTGTCTTGAGAGTTTTTTTTTCTTCTACCTTTTATATTTAGATCCATAATCCATTTGGAATTGATTTCTATGTATGGTGTGAAACAAGGGTCAATTTTCCCCCATATAGCTATGCAGAGAGTTTCTGTCCATCTCTATTCTGTCATGAATCCCATTCGTGGAAGCTAGTATCACCATGTAGGAGTTAAGAGAAGAACACCAGTGCTGGATCTGTGTTGTATGTCTTCAAAGTTTGGTTATGACATTAGTTATTTATGCAGTTTTGGATAAATTTTATACTATTTCTGGGCATACGTTTTCATCTCCAAGATGGATATAGTAGAAGTTTTCTGAGGATTAAAAATTAGTACATAATTTTCATCAAATTGCTCTAATATGTATTACATTGTTTTTTAATAATTACATGCTCCAGGTTTACTTTGTGATGCTTGCTGTGTTCATTGCAAATATGACCTCAACAAGAATGGTTATAAGAACAAATTCTTCTAGAAAATTTCTTATGAGATAGGTATTTTTCCTATTTTAGAAATAAAGAAATTAAAGCATTGAAAGATTAAATAACTTTCCCAATTAACATAGCTGGTTAATAACAGCTATTTTCAAACCTAGGGATTCTGACTCCAGAGTTGGTGCTCTTAACAGCCACAATAAATTGCCTCTATAAAGAAATGTCAGGTATAAATGTATCTGAAACTAGAAATGCAGTTTTTCACTCTCCTCCCAGTTATTTTCTCATGTGAACAATTGAATAATGTGAACTAATTTCAGAGTTTAGTTTTGTTTTACTTTCTTCCTATCTCCTTCGTAATACAATGCCAGACAAGTATGCCCTTTTTTGCCTTAGGAGATGCACCTTACCATTGGACATGAATCTGTTATTTCAGTATTTTAAGCCACTGTTTGTAGATCTAAACCCTGTTAGTAATATTTACCCCTGCCATTCTTTTCTTCTTTTAAATTTTGCCTTACTAGATCCATTCTATTTATAGATTTATAAAGTCTTTGTTCTTTGGAAAGACCTCTAAGAGTGTCATTGGTACTCTTCAGTATTTGAGTTTTGCATCATAAACTCCTTAGTCCACAGAGATGTTTTACACATCTTTACTGAAGATGTGATTTGCTTTCTCTTGACTCTATAGGAAGGGACAGAAAAAAGAACTTTTGCCAATTTCTATCATTTTTAGATACCACTGCAGGAAGGTAACGTATCTCTGTTGGTCATGTCAGGTTTCTGTATAGCAACTTCCAATACTCCTCAACTACACCTATCATGCAAAATTTATTTGCCCCTCGACACCACTAACAGATTTTAAATAAAATCTCTTTGTTCTTTTAAAGCTTGTGTATTCTGTGCTTTCTCTTTAGAGGTTTTGTGTTCTATGAATCAGATTCCATAAATATTTGTATCCATTACCTTTTGCTAACTTAGTGATTTAAAATAACAACTTATTTGCTTATGATTCTGTAGGTAGGCTGTTTAGCTTGGACTCAGTTGAGTAATTCTGCTCGTCTCGACTGGGCTTATTTATATTTCTGCAGTATGCTAGTGGTTGATGGCCTCACTTAAATTTCTGACTTTGGCTGTTTGTCAGCTGGGAGGGCTGGGCCTCTTGTTTCTCATTTGGCAGGATAACTTGGACTTACTCATGTGGTGGTCTTAGGATTCCAGGAGTAGCACACAGTCAAACTCCACTGTGCAAGGACTTTTTAAGTCTCTGTGTCACATTTTCCTAATTTTCCATTGAGCAAAACAAGTCACATGGTCAACCCAGATTCAGGGGATGTAATACTTCACCTTTTGGGAAGAGAAATATGTGGTCATTTGGCAATTTATTATACTATTGTAAAGCTTCATAGTCCCCACCTTCTGTTTTCATTTATTTTGCCTTTTTCTTTTTATCTGCTTTATTGAAGTATGATTTATATACAGTAATGTACATACATTTTAAATGCACAATTGAAGTATTGACAAATGTATACACCCTTCTTACCATCATCCCATTGAAGATATGTAGCATTTCTGTCACCCCAGAAAGTCCCTTCTGCCACTCTGCAGTCAGCCCCTCCTGACACTACAGACAAGCACTGATAGCATTTTTATGACTATGAATTAGTTTTGCCTCTACTAGAACTTTATATAAATGAGATCATAGGTTATGTACTCTTTTATGCCTGGCTTCTTTCACTCAGTGTAATGTTTCTGAGATTGATCCATCCAGTATTCCAATTTATTTATCCTAGTACTTTGTCCAACCATATTATTTTGCACAAATTATGCAAAGGTAAATTTTAACCCAATTTATTCCAGTTACCACAATGGATAAATTACTGACCTTTGAGTTTGATAAAAAAGTTTTTATTTGACAGTGCTTTCTGGTGAGTTTTCTTTAAGATCCATAGAGAATTATGAAAGAAGAGTTTATTTAAGCAAAATCTAACTGTATGAAAACAAAAATGTAGTATTTGTGATTAATATGGAAAATAGAACTTTTAGAGATTGACACTTTAGTAATTAGATAAATCTCTGGGATCTAATTGAGAATTTTATGACTCATGTCTAGGCATATAAACAAGTATAAAGTATATAATAAATACTCCTTATTATAATGTTTTTCTAGGCATTTATAAATTAGAGAAAATGAGATTTTAAGAACTGGTTTTCCTTCTTTCTTTCTACTTAATAATGAAACAGAATATGGCTACTACTTGCTCTTCAATTAGGTAATTGGTTTAGCATGTTCAGTAGAGGCAGGCAAGTTTGATTAATGCTCATGAAAAACTTTAATGTGAACCTACTCACAATAATTTTCCAGATAAATGCTTCTTTGGTACACTGTTAAATTCATCTTTGCTAGCAATCCATATGTTATTTATGATTGCAGAGGTGATTCTGTTTCTATCCTTTTGGGAAATGGAAAATTAAATCATGATTTGAGGGAAAAATAGGATTCCGGCTTAATCAGTTAAATTGCCATATAATTCTGGAATAGACAAAATAATTGCATGTCAGGCAAAATTTGAAGTGATAGATTTATATTTCCAACTTTCTTTTTATTTGTTCTGACACAAATAAGTTTGGCTTATTCTAAATTGTACTGGCCTGTCATAGTGTTGACACACAATCTTTGGTGTTTTTTTTAATTACCTAATTTAAAAAATCACAAATTTGTATTTACTATTATTATGTTTAAGTACAAATCAAGAAAAGTGCTGTATTTTAAAATACTGGTTATGACTTCAGTTCTACAGAAATTTTTCATTGTTTTGTTAATTAAAAAATTGGAGTGAATGTTACTATGTGGTATCCTATGTTGGTCAGATCCATCAAAGCTTTTTCTTGGAATTAGTCCTTTAAATATCTGATTAAGACCATTCCTGTTTACTTTGGATAAGCAGTAGTAAAAGAAAAGGCTTTCTGTTCTTGGTAAGTCCTTGTGAAAGTGAATTTATCAACTAGATAATAGGAATAACAACACACCTCATATCCTTTAGTCACCATCGGAAATTATGAAAAGTCAGAATTTTAAATGTATTGCTATTACCACATTTTGTAATTAGGAATTGTATATTTAACATTTGAATTCTTTAGTAATGTCTTATGAAAGGTGTAAAGTGATCTTGATTCTTATGAGAAGCTTTTTTCTTCCCCTGGTATTTCTCTAGAAATCCCCATTATTTACTCTTTCAAATCAAGATTCAACCATAGAAGCTAATGGTTTAGGAAGTAGAAGAATCCTGATGTTAACCTGCAGCCAGAGAGGTCAGAGGCAGGTTACCAATTCCTGAAGTCTATTGCTTCTGTGATTTTACCTGTGCTTGATCACTTAATCTTTCTCAACAGGTCATGAGAAGTTTGCCAAATTAAGTTAATTACAAAAGAGAAGGAACACATCATAAATCAAGTGCTAAGTGCTTAAGACAGCATTGGTATTTGCAGGGAAAATCAGTCACTTGAAAATGTATGAGTGCTTAGACGTATAGTAAAAATACTATATTTTGCTAATAGCAAATGTTAATCAATACTTTAAACAGGGATACAGAGAATGTTGATATAATAAACCTTCTCTTACCCCCACAAGGAACATTTATTTAGTAAATCTGTAGTATTCAAACTGATAAATGATGAGAATTGTCAGTCTAGTTAGAAAACTCATTTTGAAATCAGCATGGGGTATTCAAGTGTTTTCCTTACTGATTATGTGCATTGTATTGAATTTAATATGCCATGAATTTGCTTTTAAATATGCAAAGATACCGTTTTTAATGCATTGTATTTTGTTTCAATTATAAAATCCAATCCCAATTTGGTTTTATAAAATTACAACTTTATAAACTAGTAATGCATATCTTAAAAAATGTTTACATTATTTTAATATGTAACATAGAGTTTTTATTTTTTTTTGTAACGTAGAGTTTTATTTGACAGCTCTTTGCTGCAGAAACATATCATCTAGTCCACTAATAATTCCAGAAACTTTTTAAAGATTGTGACTTACTTTAATTAATTTTAGAGATGTCTTACAACTTGAAAATATTTAATAGAAAGTACTTGTACATTTACATTTTACTTTGAAATTGTAAATATTTTTTAGAGGTCTGACAAGTAGAAATGGTTTACATTTCTACAGAAGTATAAACTTCATTTATAAGTTAAACTTTTTATTTCATGAAAGTTTCTAGTTGAAAGAGGATAGTTTTAAAATCAAATTTATGTTTTTATAGGTTATCACACTAAAGCATTTAAATTGGCCAATTTTGCAGTGAAATCATAGTGCACTTCAACTAAAAATGAAACCTTAATGAAAATGTAAAGTCCAAATTTTGAACTTTGATGAAAGAAATTAAAGACAACACAAGCAAAATGGAAGGATATTCCATATTCATGGATTGGGAGAACAGTTATTGTTAAAAGGGTGCTTACTGCCCAAAGTAATCTGAAGATTTAATGCAATCCCTGTCAAAATACCAACAGTATTTTTCACAGAACTAGAACAAATAATCCTAAATTTGTATGGAGCTACAAAAGCCCCTTAATAGCTTAATAGCAAGAAAAACAAAGCAAAGCTGGAGGTATCACAATTCCTTCAAGTTATTCTACAAAGCTGTATTAATCAAAACAATATGGTCCTGGCACAAAAATAGACACATAGATCAGTGGAACAGGATACAAAGCCCAGAAGCAAACCCACAATTATATGTTTAATTAATCTTTAACAAAAGAGGCAAGAATATGCAATGGGAAAAAGTTTCTTCAACAAATGATGTTGGGAAAACTGGACATAGCTACATGCAAAAGAATGAAATTGGATCATTTTCTTACACCATACAGAAAATAACTCAAAATGCATTAAAGAGTAAATGTGAGACCTGAAACCATAAAAATCCTAGAGGAGAGCACAGGCAGTAATTTCTCTGACATTGGCTGTAAACATTTTTCTAGATAAGTTCTGGAGGTTAAGGAAATAAAAGCAAAGAATAAAACCCAAATTTTGTTTTATTGAAGAAAAGATACTTGATTTCATGCTAGTGACAAAATAGATAATGTTAACTCTTGTTAGCAACATAAAGGTAAGATTATGAGTTTGAACCTGCCATGAAATTGAGCCTAATTGCATTTTTTTTTTTTTAAATTAGTTTGCAGGTCGAAGTAAGAAGGAAACTAAATACTCTCTTAAGGCAGTTGAAGACATGCTGGAAACACTGCAGATCACCCAGTCTTAAGGTTTCAGACTCTTTCACATTACATTTCACAACTGCACAGTTGAACTTATTGGCCTGTGACTTATTTACTAAATGCCTAGTGCTATTTATATACTAATTTTTGTTAAGAGGGCAATTGTAAAGAATGTTTATATAAACCTAAAAATGCCTTTTATTGCTAAGCAGGAAGATGGAGAAAGTCCATGGAAGAGAGATTTAACAAGATTCAGATTGATTGTACATTATTCTCTTCGTATCACACATACAGAACTTCTTTTAAGCCACAATGTGATGTAGAAATCCCATAAATAAATCATGTGATTTATTAAATTTGTGTATGAAGATTCTAGATTCTTTTTGTTATACTCAAGTAGCGAATATGTTGTTTTAGAACTCATTTTCTAGCTAATAACTCCTTATTTGTGAAAAGAAATAGATAGCATGCATACCTGACAAGCAAAATATTGGCAAATTATTTTGATTTCTCTTTATAGTGTTAAGTTGGATTTTGCTGTGCATTCCAGTGGGTTATTGTTTTATGCACTATAATATTATTCTGATAAGTCTTGCTGAATATATATCATTCTCCAAAGTTTAGTAATATCTCTGTAAAATTTTTGTTTTGCCATAGGCCATAACTGAGATTTTTTACCTGTAAGAAGTTTTAAGGTTCATATAATAATCAAATTTAACCTTTATGAAAGTTAAAGTTATTGAACTTTTAAGTATAAACTACATAAAAGAATATTAAGACAACATAGTAGAGATTAAAGAGATTTCAGTGAAAAAAAAGGTTTCAGTGGCTGAGTTATTTTTACTAGGGAAAATAAAGTCTAAACTATCTTTAGGGGCAAAATTTTTACAGTTCTCATATTTCATTACTTCCTTAATAATAAGAATTTCTCTTTTCTTTTTCTCTTTTCATGATAAACAACCATTATACTACCTTCAATAGTGTTTTGCATGTTTCAGTGGAATAGAAAGAAATTTTGAGACACTTTTAAGAACTTTATTCAGACACAAATCAGTTTTTAAAATAGGCAATTAGCCATTCAGGGCATGTATTAGTAGTAGTAGTAGTTTATAATTTACATATACAAATTACATGTTTTATGTATCGCATACATGTATAATTACATATATAAATAGTTTACATATATAAATAATTAGTTCTGTACCATTAGTACAGAAACTTCTACATACTTGTCATTGCTAGATTTAGGCAAATGGGGTTGATGGAGGAATTGACAACCTGGAAGTCTTTAGGAAGAAAACTATTGTCAATATCAGTTTTTAATCTTTTGAATAATTCTGTTAGTAAATTATTCTCCATATCTGGTCTAATTCTTTTATTTTGCAGTCTTTTTAGTTTTATTCTGCCATGAGAAGTGAGCAGAATGTAAAATTCCCCACATAAAGATAATTCTTATCAACAAATCTTTGTTATCACAAGATATACTCTCTTTTGCCCATGAATTTAGTAACTGCATTTTCAACGTAATCACCCATCTCAGATTTGTTTGCTATAAAGTGCTCATATATTATTCCACTACCTTTCTTCCCTCTAACCTCGTATAAGTCACTAAGGTAGTGTTTACTTTAGCAATTAAATTTGTGTGAGGTAGTGCCTTTTATAATCATCAGCCTAAGTTTCAATTTATTTTTCTAATTTTAAAACCTGCTTGCCAAGAATTTTTTATGAAATACATTGTTAATGTATAGATATTTAATAAACCTCAGTTTAAGTAAGTGTACTGATCATCCTATCGTGGCAGATATTTGCCAACTGCTTCTACCACCACTTTTTCCTCGTTAACAGTATCCTATATTGTTCGGTAGGACCAGAGATCCTTGTTCTTCAAGGAGATAAGGACCTTACTTTACCTCAGCCCTAGGATATGTATCATGATTGATCTAAAAAAACAGAGGTGATTTAATTTCTTATGGTCTGTGATATGCCAAGGCAGTACTTTTTGCAGTGAAGGAAATCTATATTTGTGGTGTTCTGTATGGTAGCCACTAACTAACTGTATGTAGCTACTGAGAACTTGAAATGTGGCTAGTAGAAATGAGAAATTGAATTTTTAATTTAATTTTAATTTAAGTAGCTGCATGTGACTCATGGGTACCATAGTGGGCAGTGCAGATATCCAGAGTGTGGGCATGTTACCTATTTAAGGCTAATAAAATGAACAGAAGACTATTGGGAAGGGTTTTCCTTTCAAATTAAAGAGTCAGAGCTTTATGAAGCTTTTTGCCTCTTTCTCTTCCTTCAGGCCCTGAGTGTAGTCAACATGTTTAGAGATACAACAGCCATCTTACAACTATGAAACAATAAATAGGAGAATGAAAGCTACCTTTCAGAGATGACTTTGTAGAAAGACTAGGGAGAGCCTGCATCCCTGATGGCATATTGGATACTTGAACAAACATGAGTTGCCATCCTCTGCACTTACCACATGAGAAAAATAAACTCTCCCTTGTTTAAGACATTGTTTGGATTTTCTTGTTACTTTTGCCATGTATGTTTCTCACTACTACTATGTCCATTAATTTTTTTTAAATATGCAAAGCTCTTATTTTAGACATGCTGGGAATAGTGTTTCAAAATGTAGTGATTTAAAGTTAGAGTAGACAAGTACATATAACAAAAGTAGTAATACTTTGTTGTAACTCAACATACACTATTTAAGCTAACCTTAGCCATAGGATATTATTGACTTGGGAGCAGAGGAGGATGTAGAAAAGATAGAAAAGAAAGACCAGTGCTTCAGCATGCTGGGAGCATATAATTTTTATTGATAAATGCTTCAGAGAATCTTTTTTTTTCTGATACCACAATCCATTTATTCTCAAAGTAACTTTATTTTACAGAACTTTAAGATTTTAGAAGGGACTTTATTATTATTATTTTTTAAGATTTTATTTATTTATGCATGAGAGACACAGAGAGAGTGGCAGACACAGGCAGAGGGTGAAGCAGGCTCCATGCAAGGATCCCGATGCAGGACTCAATCCTGCGACTCCGGGATCACGTCCTGAGCCAAAGACAGACGCTCAACCGCTGAGCCATCTGGGGCATCTCTGGAAGGGACTTTAAAGATGAATTAGTTATATTCTATTTTAGGATGAGGAATCAAGGTTCTGAGAAATTAAGCTCTTCTGTGAAAGAGCAGGACCAGGATGTCAGGGGTTCCCAAGTCAGTGTATTTTCTAGTATACTCTGAAGTATGTATCTATTCTGTGATATATTCTTCGTATTTTAGAATGAGAAAAATAAGAGATAGATGTATCCGAGGGACGTTACTTGTAAGCATAGCAGGGATTAGAATTCAGATTTTCTGACTTGTAAAACAATTTTTTTAGTGGAATAATAAAGTCATAATTTATTTATGAAATTATACTTTCATTTTGAATTAAACTGAACAAACTAAATTGCCTATTTAAGCTATATTACTTCATTTTTAGTCATTGTGAGAACTATTTCAGACTATTTAGAACTACTTTGAACCTCCCTTCTCACTCTTGACAAGTAACCTCTTGTTGTAGACTGAATTGTGTCCCCCTAATATTCATATGTCAAAGTCCTAACCCCCCAAACCTCTGAATGTGATTTTATTTGGAGATAATCTTTAAAGTGATAATTAAGGTAAAATTAGGTCATATGGGTGGGCCATAATCCAATATGATTGGTATCTTTATAAGAAGAACTTAAGACACAGACAACAGAGGAAAAACCATGGGAAGCCAAAGAAAGATGCCCATCTACAAGCCGAGGAGTGATTCCACAGAAGAAACCAACCCTCCTGACACCTTGATCTTGGACTTCTGGCCTTTAGAACTATGATGAAATAAATTTCTGTTGTTTAAAACACCCAGTTCTCTGTGTGCTTTGTTAAGGCAGCCCTAGCAAACTAACAGAGCTTTCTAATTCACAGAGAAAAACATACCCAGTATCAGACGTTTTTGTACTTGACCTAACCTCTTTTTCTCTTAGAGTAGAAAAAAATAGCCCTGCCCTTGTCTGAATGATTTCCCACCACTGTCCTCATTTTTTATACCTAAGCCTTATTTTAGTTTCACAAATTTGCCTTACTGACTTCTACCATAGAGCATTCTGTCTTCTCTGAAATGTCACATCATTGCTTTTCTTCAAATTTGTCCTTAAACTATTTTTCTTTTGTATCTTTTCTTTCTTTAAACTAGAATTCTTCCTGTTAACACTCATATATGTCCATTTCATTACCTTTTTAAAACAACTCCCTTCATTTTCATAATCCACCTCCAGCTACTACCCTGATTCTGTTTTTTGTTTTTGATTTCAGTCTAATTCCTTCAATTTTCTAAACTTCTATCTGTTCTTCCCTTCTCATTCTTTAAATTGCTCCAGTTTGGTACCTCCCCACACTCCCACTGTATTCCTTTGAAATGGTTTAGTTCTGTGTCATCAATCTGATGGATGTTTTCTTTAAACCATAACTGTGTTCTATTTATTTAATGCTGTATTACACATTTCAGATCTGTCCATTCTTGCCCATTTTCATTGCCACCACTACCCTGGAACAAGCTGTCATCACCTGACTCCTAAACCACAATAGCCAGAAAGCTAGATTTCTTGCATCTTCACTTCTCAGTCTGTTCTCCATTGCAGTGAGAATATGACTACACATCACTAGAAATGCCTTTTTACCTTTCCCCTCATTAAAACTCTTCAGTTGTTCCCCTTTGTTGCTCTATACATGGCCTGTGAGGTTCTGCGTAGTATCAGAACCAGGAAGGACGGTTCAGATTTCCTGATAGTAAACTATCTTCTACTCTCCCCTCTATTTCTGAATTTAGCCATATTTAAATTCTGTGGCTTTGTTAATGCTGTCTTTTTCCACAAACTTGGTACTCATTCCCTCTGTATAGAGCAAAAAACCTTCCTTGACTCATCTATCAGAGGTCAGGCCCCTCTTCTTTCTTCCTACCCATGTTTTTAAAATAATGTTTTGTTTTACAATACTTTGACTCACCAGAAGTTGCAAAAACGGTATGGGAGTTCCCATATACCAGCTTCTCCCTATTATCTTAACCACAGTATATTGTCATAGGAAATTGACATTGCAGCATTACTATTAACTGAGTTACTGGCCTTATTTGGTTTTCACAATTTTTGCATGCTCATTTTTTTGTTTATAAAATGTTGTATATTTGGGTTCATGTTACTAACACCATTAGCATAATATAGAACCTAACATCACAAACTTCATTCTTGCTACTTACTAGTTATACCTTAATCTAACCCTAATGACCAGCATCCACTGATCTTTTCTCTATCACTGTAATGT